TTTGCCCTGCTGGACCTCTGGATCCCTGCGCGCCCGTACCGGAGTCGCGCGCGCTTCCCCGGAACGTCGCGCCGTTGGAGCTGCCGCAGCCACCGCCGCTGGGAAGGGGTTTTGGACCAAGGCCGGGGTGGCGTCCGCGGAGCTGGGATCCAAGCTGGGGGGCCCCTCCCGGCCCCAGCCCACCATTCCCCGCTCAGCCATCTTCATTTCCCGTCCCAGCGCATTCCCATCCCTGGGCGCGCTGCCGCCGCCGCCGCCTCACGCCCGCCTCGCCACCCTCTTCGCCTCCACTGTGGCCCTGTCACCACCACTTCACCCATTACCCCGCCGGAACCCATCCTTACATCCCGTCCTCTCTCCGCCCTCGGTCCCGTCGCGAATCCCCTCGCCGTCTCACAGTCCACCCCTGGAATCGATGTCTCCATCCTCTCTGCACCCCAGCGTGCCCCACCTCTGCCCGGTCCCTGCAGCGTCCAGCCGCCCCCCACCCCCTCCTCTGCTCCCTACCGTCCTGCCGCAGGCCCCCCCGCCCACCCCCCCCCCGGCTGCATCAAGCCCCCCTTCTTCCTCGGCAAACCCATCCCCCTCCCCAGGCGCGCCGCACCCACTGCGGCAAGGCAAGCCCCTTCCTCGCCAATCGCGGCGCCCTCTTCCCCACACCGCCCTCCGCCTCGCGCCGCGCCCAGCGCTGCCGCAGCTCCAGACCCCGCGTGCCGGCTCCAGATTCAAGGCACGCGGCCCTGCGTCCCCGGCCAGCGGGACTCGCGACCAGCACCGGGGGCACCTGGGGCACCTGGAACCCCTTGGCCGCCAGCCTTTGTTCCGCTGCCTGCAACGCAGCCCCGCGAGCCTTGCACCTGTCGCCCCCGGGCCTTGGGGGGTGGACTCCTCCCACCCAGCGCAGAGTCGCCAGCAGCGAAGCCCCTCTGTGTCGTGTCCTGTGTGTGACAGAGACTGTCATTTGGCCGAAATGGTGGAGGGGCTTTGGTTGGTGGGTGAGGGGAGGAGGAGGGTGCTGGGACAGAGCGGGAGGGGTTATGCTGCTGTTGGTGTGTTAGTGGGGGGAGAGGGGACCATTGAAATGTTCTCTCCCAGCTGGGTCTGAGGCCACCCTTACGGAGGAATTGTCAGTGTGACAGCGACAAAGACTGGGGGGTGGGGGGAGCAGAGGTGAGGAAGGAACGGAAGGTTTGGAGCGGGGTGTGGAGGTGGGGCGGTGCCCAGGGAATCTGGTCATTTGTCCAGTGCCCGCTGCAGGCTGGTGGACGTGCCAGGAGGATCCAGCTAGGCTGGGGTCCCAGAGCAGGAGCAGGCATGGGGCAGTTGTCCAGAGAAAGGTCTCTTGCATGGTAAAGCTTTCTGCAGCCCTGGCCAGGCAGCCACGCAGGGCCCAGGACTGGGGGCGGGGGCGGGGGGAGCCCCTGCCTGCCTCCCAGACCTGCATCCAGCCTCCCGCGTGTTCTGGGGGGCCACGCCTGGAACTGTCACCTGTTTCAGCATCGTCCTGGGAGGCCCTGACCTAGAGAGATTCCCAGTGGCTGGGCAGGGTGTGCAGAGTTCCTGGGACGTGGCTTTGAAGGTGGCCGAGCAGGCAGTCTGCACACTGTGGGAGCCGCGGAAGCTTCTGGAGAGATGGGCTTGGCATGGCGCCATCTTCCCTCTGCAGTCTCCTTGGGAGGGCTCTGTGGCCACCAGTCACAGGGTGCCGCCGCTGCTGCGGGGCCCGGGCAGACGAGGTCCGGGGCCCTCCTGGGGCGTGGTGCCCACTGTCGGGATGGGGGTCTCGGGCTGAAGGGTTGGGGGGCTGTGCTGAGTGAGGACTCTGTCTGGAGGCTGCAGTGCCCTCAGGTGGGGGGCTGGGAGCTGTGTCAGCAGGTGGCCGGAGGCAGGAGCCTCCCGCACAGCCTGGTTGGGGTCAGTGAGGGGAAGCCAGCATCCAGGGTGGTCCAGGAGGTCTGAACCCCGGCTTCGCCTGGGAAGGGCAGGCAGGTGCTCTCACTGAGGGGCAGGGCAGGGCAGTCCGGGAGTCGGCGGGGGTGTGGCGGCGGGAAATGGTCTGCAGGAGAGGCTCTGAAGAGGGGGTGGGGGGTGAACAGGACTGTTGTTCCTCTCCTCCCGCTTCAAAAACCTGGAATCAGCCCAGGAGGATGTGCCTAGAAAAGTAGGGGAAGGGAGAGTTCTGGAAGGGTGGGGCCAACTGCTGAACTGGCAAAGGGACCAGGGAGGGAGGAGGGAGGCTTGCTGGCCAGCTGGAGGGGGCGGAGCGGGCAGGGAGTAGCCTCCATGACCTGGGGTTAGTGGGAAGGGAGAGGCCAGCTGGTGGGGAGGAGGTGGGTGAGAGGGTGCACTTGGCAGTTTTAGAATTGATTGAGGGGCGGGGAGCAGGACCAGACCCCTGATTTGGTCCTGGCCTCTCTCAGATATTGAGCTGAGAAAAGACGTAGGGGTTGGGATGGGAAGGTTTGAAATAGCAAGTGGAGACTCCCTCACTCACTCGCTTACCTCCAGCGTCAGGGAGCTCATCCCCTGTCCTGGCAGACCCACCCCCTTCCCCCAGCACTGACCAGGTAGGCCAGGCTTGCATTGCATTGCAGGGCATTCTCTGCAGAGTCCACCTCCGCCCCCGAGGCCAGAACCAACTGATGTCCTGCTGCCCGGGCTGAGCTGGGCCAGGGCTGGGCAGAGGGGGCACAAGACGGCTCTGTGCCCCGACTGCCAGCAGCTGCGTCTGCCCTGTGGTGGGCGTGGGGGCCGCCTCGGCCCGGCCTCCCGGGGCCTCAGGCCGGCGCCCGAGCTCTGGCTCCGTGTCTTCACTCCCGTGTGTGCCGAGGAGGGAGGGAGGGCCGGGGGCTGTGCTGGGGCTGCTGGAGCGGCGCGGTCACCGGGCAGCTGGGCGAGGCGGCCGGGCAGGGCCAGGGTGGGGCCGGCTTGAAGTAGGGAGCAGGGGGTGGGCAGATGGCGCCCAGGGTCCTGGGAGCCTCTCCCGGGGGCTCCCCCCGCCCTCTCCTCTCTGTGGACTCGGCCTTCCTCTGAGCTGTCTGCATGAATGACAGGTTTGTGGACCCAGGCCAGGAGTCCACCAGGGGAACAGGAGGGTTCGGAGGTCAGCCAGCCGGGGTGCTGCTGCCCCTCTGGCCTTCCAGAGCTCGTGCCCATGCAGCCCGCCCATCTGAACAGCTGTGTCCCCACCCACTGCCTCTCCCTGGGCCACCCTGGCCTGAGCGCCCATCACAGCTGAGCCCCGCTGTTACCTGGAAGCCCCCTGCTGGCCCCGGCCCCCTCCCCCAGGGCACACCCCCAGCCCACCCCCTCACCCCTTCCCTAGCACCCCAGGAGCCTGGCGGTTCCAAGCAGTAGGTGAGCCTTGCCAAGGGTGTGGTCCTGGGCTCTGTTGGAGGGGAGGCAGCTGGGGTGGGGGGTGCTCGGGGGTCTCTTGGTGGGCACACCCAGCCCCACTGCACTGCCAGGCTCGATCCTCCGGAAGACCACTGGGATGGGCCCCAGTCTGCGGCCAGGGTCCTGGGGGGAGGGCCCAGGGCCTGCTGTGTCCCACCCCTGCTGGCCAGGGTCCAGGGCCACACATCACAGCCAGAAACAGGGCCGTCGAGGGGGATGTTCTCATATTCCGGCCCTTTCTGCTGGAGGTGCCTGCCCCCCCATGGAAGGGGGACAGGGATGGGGCACCCCCTCTGTGCCAGGTCCCGGGCGGTCAGACTGCTCCCAGGAGACCTGCAGGTCGGGGTCTCTGAGAGTACGGGCGCACAGTGCTCTCGCCACTCCGTCCGTCCTGACCCAGGGAGGTGCCACAGCCCCCCACGGGCCAGTGGGATCACGTTCAGGGCCCGAGAGCATGGGAAGCCCTGAGACAGGTAGCCCCCTGCTCCGCCTGGGCCAGGTCGGGGGGGTCCCCACTGCAGGACGTGGGAGCTCTGCCCAGGCCCCCCTGCCCCACCCCACAGCTGTGCACGAGGGCGCCCTGCCCCTGCCCCATGCAGCCTCTGCCCCGGCAGGTGAAAGCCAGCACCGGACCCTGGGGGAGGGGGCTGGGAAGGGGGCTGTGAGGAGGGAGCCGGGCTGGCGGGGTTGCCGGGCGCCCCCGTCGGTGAGGGGATCTGCAGTGTGGCAGCCAGCGCCACCTGGTCCTGACACCTCATCTCTGCCAGCCTCAGTTTCCCGGCCTGTGAAACTGGGTCCCAGCACCCACCTCAGAGCTGCAGTTGCTACAAAACTGGGACCAGCGTGTCCTTAAAGGTCCCTTCTTCCCTCTCCTCCCTGGCCCCTGCCTGGGGGTGCCCCCTACTCCTGGCTGCACCGACTCCAAGCCTGTCCCTGACCCACTGGGGACACCTGGACAGAGCGCTGTGGCCTGGAAGCTGCTCCTGGCCTGTGGCAGGAGGGGTCGGGGCCTGGAGGGTGCAGGGGACAGGATGGACACTGGAGCTGGGCACAGGTCCTGCAGGGCGGGGGTGGGGCTGGGGCAGGCCGCCCCCCCACCGGCTTGTGCTTGGACCTATCCTGATCTCGATAGTCAGTGCCCTTTGGGGCCGGTGCCTCTGGCCAGCCCAGAGCTGGCGGTCCACAGGCTCCTTCGTGACAGGTCGGCCCCACTTGTGCCTGCTCTTCAGTGGGACCTGGGGCCCTGGCGGTGTTGGGGGGAGGAGACTGAGGCTGCCCTGCCTGTGCCTCAGGGTCCTTTTTCACTCCCCATCCTCAGCCCGTGTGGGTGGGCAAAGGCACCAGTCGGGCCTGGAAGCTGCCTCCATGGCCTGGAGTCGGGCAGCCCCACCCACCCCACATGTGGGACCCCCGGGCCACTCTGTGCTGGGGCGACTCGTGACCTGAGGTGCTCCCTGTCTCTGGGATGGCCCTCCAGCCTCAGTGCATGGTGACACCCCTGCTCTGTGCCCTCGCCACTGGGCTTGCCCACAGGGCCTGGGGGTGAGGCCCACAAAGCCAGGGCTGGGGGCTGCCCTGCCCCTGCCTCACAGCCCCCTCCGCAGGTGAGCACCTGCGGATCTGCCCCCAGGGCCACACCTGCTGCACCAGCGAGATGGAGGAGAACCTGGCCAACCGCAGCCGTGCGGAGCTAGAGACGGCGCTCCTGGACAGCAGCCGTGCCCTGCAGGCTGCGCTGGCCGCCCAGCTGCGAGGCTTCGACGGTGAGTGGGCCCCCGGGGCCTTCAGGACACTGAGACAGTGGGGACCGGGGCCTCTCCTGGTGCGCTGGGGTCAGAAGGGCTTAGGACAGCTGTCTGGGGCTTGGGGGTCCTGATAACAGGAGGGTCGCCACGTGCAGGGACCAGAGCTGGGCCGGGCAATGGCGAGGGGCCTGTCTGGGGAGGGGCAGGGAGACCGGGCCCCTCAGGAAACCCTCACAGCTCCTGGATAGCTGCCCGTCGTGTGTCTCCAGGCCTCGTGACAGTCACCTCAGACCTAGGCAGACAGGGCCTTGGACCGAGAGTGTCAGGACGATGCGATGATGCCTAAGGGGTGCAGTTGGGGGGGGTACTGGGAGTGACCTGCAAAGCGAGGTCTCCACGGAAAGAGAAGCCTCGGGCAGTGCCAGCTGCTGGGCCTGGCTGGTTTCGGTCGGCTGTCGCCTCTTAGGGTCCTCCTGTCCCTGTTGGGCAGCAGCCCCTTCCTGGCCTCTGATGCAGAACCCTGGAGCAAGCCCCCCCGGCCACCGGGGCAAGGGCATGGGGGGCTTGGGCAGCAGCGCCCAGGGTGTGCGGGCCTCACGGCCGCCTCCCTGTCCCCAGATCACTTCCAGCACCTGCTGAACGACTCAGAGCGGCTGCTGCAGGACACCTTCCCGGGCGCCTTTGGGGAGCTGTTCACGCAGAACGCCAAGGCCTTCCGGGACCTGTACGCGGAGCTGCGCCTCTACTACCGCGGGGCCAACCTGCACCTGGAGGAGACGCTGGCCGAGTTCTGGGCCCGGCTGCTGGAGCGCCTCTTCCGGCAGCTGCACCCGCGGCTGCTGCTGCCCGACGACTACCTGGACTGCCTGGGCAAGCAGGCCGAGCCGCTGCGGCCCTTCGGGGACGCCCCACACGAGCTGCGCCTGCGGGCCACCCGCGCCTTCGTGGCCGCACGGGCCTTCGTGCAGGGCCTAGGCCTGGCTGCTGACGTGGTCCGGAAGGTGGCCCAGGTGCGCCCAGCTGCCCCAGGTTCCTGGGGGACCCATGATCTGCCCCGCTAACTCATCACGTCCCAGACCCTGGAGCCCTGGGCCTCCGGCCACCTCCTGACTCTGGGCTGCCGCTGGGGCCTCTGGACAGCCCCTCAGAGGACATGCGCTCCATCCTGGGCTGCCCACCCACTGCCCAGTCCCGTCCTCGGCCAGCCTGGGTTCCGGGCAGGAAGGGAAGAGGAAAGGGCCTGGGACTGGATGCTGAGCCAGCTGCAGGGGTCAGGGGGACAGGGGACAAGGGGACAGGGCCTGGAGGCTGGAGTGGGCAGGGGCCAAGGCCACGCATGCCAGGGGGTCCCCTGCCCCACTGGGTGCCCCGTCAGACCTCTGGTGACAGGTGTGCGAGAGCACTGGCCTCAGACCCACGCAGCCCGGGGGGAAGCCGCCTCCCCCTCCAGCTGGGGTTCTCGGTGTGTCAGCCCTCGGTCCTGAGGCTCAGGTCCCTCGTCTACATGGCTGTTGAGCTCACAAGAGGCTCCTCTGGGGGGTTAGTGGTGCGGTGTGCCACAGGCTGGTTATCAGAGTGAGTGCCCCTGTGGCCAGCAACCCCCAGGCCCCCCAAGAAGGGCCAGGCCAGGTCCCACAGTGGTTGGAGCAGGAGGAGGGCCACCAGACTTTGGTCCAGAGCCCCTACCCTGGGGCCCCGGGGGGCCGGGCGCCAGCTGTGAGGCACTCAGGCTGCCCTGGCTCTGCAGGTGCCCCTGGGCCCCGAGTGCTGGCGGGCCGTCATGAAGCTGCTGTACTGCGCTCACTGCCTGGGTGTGCCCGGCGCCCGGCCCTGCCCGGACTACTGCCGCAACGTGCTGAAGGGCTGCCTGGCCAACCAGGCCGACCTGGACGCCGAGTGGAGGAACCTCCTGGGTGAGCGGCCGGGCCCAGGGCGCCCTGGGGACGGGCCGGGTGGAGTGGGATGCGGGCAGCACCCCGGGGGGGAGCCCCGTGAGGTCCTCGCTCCTGCCCTCCCACTGGGCAAGGGCCCTAACACGCACGTGTGCCGACTCCTGTCTGAGGCGTGGCGGGCCGGCACGTGCATAAGCCGTGAGCTGACACGAACACGTGCCTCGCGGTAGCACACGGTGCCGGCAGGCGTGTGACGCACCAGCGTGTGTGGGAGGTGGGCCCGCACACACGTGAGCACACACACACCCACCGCTGGCCCACCGTGGGCCAGTGTGGCACCTGCATGTGGACACGTGAGCTTGCATGTGTGGACATGAGGCGGGCCGGCGTGCAGGCGTGCAGACTGCTCTGTGCTCACGCCTGTGCCAGACTCCATGGTGCTCATCACCGACAAGTTCTGGGGCCCGTCGGGCGCGGAGAACGTCATCGGCAGCGTGCACTCGTGGCTGGCGGAGGCCATCAGCGCCCTCCAGGACAACCGCGACACACTCACGGCAAAGGTGCGGGCAGGAGGTGTGGCGGGCAGGGGTGTCCATATAGGGCCTTGTGTCCCTCAAGGACCCCCGTGGTCTCCCCCAGGTCATCCAGGGCTGCGGCAACCCCAAGGTGAACCCCCACAGCTCGGGGTCTGAGGAGAAGCGGCCGCGGGGCAAGCTGGTGGTGCAGAAGCCGCCCGCAGGCGCGCTGGAGAAGCTGGTGAGTGGTCCCTCGGCCGGCCCCACCCTTGGGGGCAGGGGAGCGGAGGGCAGGCTAGGCTGGGGCACCCCACAGCCTGACTGCTGCCCCCACAGGTCTCGGAGGCCAAGGCCCAGCTCCGTGACGCCCAGGACTTCTGGATCAGCCTCCCAGGGACGCTGTGCAGCGAGAAGATGGCCATGAGTGCCGCCAGTGACGACCGCTGCTGGAACGGGGTGGCCCGGGGCCGGTAGGTGCGGCCCGGCTGGGCAGGCCGTCCCTCTCGTGCATCTCAGGGGGCCCTTGTCTGCCCTGCACTGGGCCATGCCAGACACACAGCAGGACACGGGACACTGGGACGAGAGCCAGCTCCTTGCTGCACACACCATGCCCGGGGTGTCCTCACCTCTCTGCCTCGGGGCCCCATGCGTACCACTCCACTCCTGGGTGACCGTTTTGCAGGGACCCAGGTGGTCACCCAGGATCTTCCCTCATGGCCCCAGGTACCTCCCTGAGGTGATGGGTGATGGCCTGGCCAACCAGATCAACAACCCCGAGGTGGAGGTGGACATTACGAAGCCCGACATGACCGTCCGCCAGCAGATCATGCAGCTGAAGGTCATGACCAACCGGCTGCGCAGCGCCTACAACGGCGAGGACGCCGACTTCCAGGACGCCAGTGAGCACCGCCGCCGGGCTGGGGCAGTGGCCGTGGGTTGAGCACTCTGAGTTGGCGCAGGGCCGCCACAGAGCTGTGCCCCCTGCGTGTCCCCAAGCACCGCTGAGCCCTGGTCAGGATGTCACTGCCACCTTGACAAACCCCAGCAGGGCCAGCCACCCAGAGTTAGGGTGCCCCCGGGGGGCCTGGGAGGCCCACCCACAGAATTGTGCCACTCGGGGTCCCAGCGGGGTCGACCTGCCCAAGCCCCCTCTCTTTCCCAGGTGACGATGGCAGCAGCTCGGGCAGTGGGGACGGCTGCCCCGATGACGTCTGCGGCCGGAAGGTCAGCAAGAACTCCAGCTCCAGGACCACCTTGACCCATGCCCTCCCCGGCCTGTCGGAGCGGGAGGGCCAGAAGACCTCAGCCACAGGCTGTCCCCGGCCCTGCATGGCCCTTCTGCTCCTCCTCCTCACCTTGGGCCTCTCAGTGGCCAGGCCGCGGTGGCGGTAACTGCTCCCTGGCCCCAGGGACCGAGGCCAAGGACTGACTTTGCCAAAACTCAGATGATATTTAATTCCCCTGGGCCTAGAGGCCTGGGACAGGACAGGGAGGAACAGTGAGAGACTGCTGCTCTGTGGGGCTGGGGGGGGCAGGTGGCCCGCCCCCCCAGGCCTGGCTTTGCCATCACCCTGGCTCTTAATTGTCTGTGAGGCCCTCAGGTCAGCCGGGAGCAATGTCCCCCAAAGCCATGTATTTCAGGGACCTTCTGGGGGCCTCGGATCTGAGCAGGCCCTGTGTATACAGGTCTGAGGGCCTCTCTCCTGGGCCCACCTCCGCCCGGCTCCCACCTCCGCCTGGCTCCCCGCTCCGTCACCACCCAGTGCCAGGGCCTGCGGGGGGGGGGGGGGGACCTGGGGCCTGTGCCTTCCTCTCCCGCTTCCTCCTGTGACAACCAGGGGCCCCAGGTTTCAGAACAAGAGGCCCACCCCTCAGCGCCCTGAGAATCCTCCGGTGGGCATGGGGTCTCTGCCACCTGGGATCTTGAGGGGCCTTTGAGATAATGCATGAACCCTTCATAGGCAGCCAGGCCCCGACCCTACGACATCAAGGGCCTTCCCAGAGCCTCTGAGTCAGGTGGGAGCTTGTTGGGACAGATGGGCCCAGCGGACCTCGTCCTTGCCAGAGACCCACCGGGGGCAGGGGACTCGGATGCGCTTTGAATGGCAGCAGCACAGCTCACCTCCCGGGCTCCGCTCTCAGTTGTCTGTAGGTGGACTTGCTGCCCCCGGCTGTCCCCAAAGGTGGGCCACCCTCTCAGCCCGGGGCTGGGCCACAGCCTGCACAGGGACTTCCAGGTGAGGGGAGGAGCCACCTGGCCACTGTCCTCCCTCCTGTCCCCACTCAGACTGAGGGTCAGGTGCCAGCTCAGGGTGTTGCAGGCCCGCGGGTGCAGCTTCAGCTCAGGGCCAGCGAGTAGCAGTGCTGCAGACCAAGGGCCACCGGGGGCCCTTCCTTGGCCCGCCAATGCAGGGAGCCTGTGAGCGCTTCGACAGTTAAGGGCTTTTCTAGATGTGCAGACACTTCCAGATGTTTCCCACCCTGTTCACCAGGAGCTGTTCTCAGCTCCTCTCACAGCTTTTGCAGGACGCCCTTCTGTGGGACCAGCATCTAGGTGCCCCGATTATGCCGGCTGGGGGGGCTGGCACCCTGCCAGAGGGGCTCAGCAAGGAGAAGGCAGTCGCAGAGCGGGAGGCTGAGCCCGCTGGGCAGGGACGGTGTGCTGGCCAGCAAAGGGGGCCCTGAGCAGGCTGCTTAGCACCGCTTTGCTCTCCCTCCGGGGGTTGGGAGGGCCACTGGCCAGGGTCCCTGGCACACCGCTGGGTGTGTTGGGCCCAGGCCCCCAGCCTGTGCTCCATGGACCCACCCGCCCCAGGTAACCCTGAAGTATCTGGGCCCAGGGGTAGGGCCCCGGACCCTGGGGACTTGGGCAATAACTGCCGAGTGCCAGGATGGCACACTGTGCCACACAGGGATGGCCCCAAAGGGGCCTGTGCCCTGTCCCCTCCCTCACATGCATCTCTGGGAGGGGGTGGCAAGCCTGCCATGTCCTGCCACATGGTGTCAGCAGGCAACGTGTGTTCTTTGCGTCCTTGTATGAATAAAAGGCTGGAGACCTCATGTGGCTGCTGTGATCCCTCCTTGCCCAGGCCAGCAGCAGGCATGTGCCCACAGGCTACGCAGGGCAGGACTTCGGGCCTGTGGGGAGGTGCCCTGGATGGTGCCAGCATGGTGGCCCTGTGGCTGCAGCAGGGAGGGTCCGTGTGTCCCGTCCCACCCTGGGAAAGATGCCCTGCCACCCACCCCTCATAAGCCCAGGATGGTTCGGGCTCCTGCCAGGTGGCTTTACAACTGTCCCCCTGGGGCTGGCAACCCTCACCAGAGTGGGACCCCTGCACCAGCCGCCTTGCTGTCCCCCGCAGAAAGGCCTCCGTGGTCCTCGGCGCAAAGGCAACAGCCCTGTCCCCACCACCCACGGTGTGCACCTTGTGCAGGGCCCGGCTCATCAGCCAGAGGCTGCAGCCAACCAGACCCGCGAGCTACTCAAGGGTCACTTTATTTGGGCCTCAGCGCCCACACACGCAGCCTGGCGTTCAGTGAAGCCTCTCTTCCCCGGGGCCCGGAGTGTTGAGGGCCCCCAGCACGGGTGGACATGTGCCCTGGGAGGGAGAATGGGCTCTGCAGAGGCCCCCCCAAGCCCCGGAGCCCTGCGGTTCCTGCTGGCTTGGGTGCACAGGCCTCCAGGACCTGCGCAGAGTGGGGGCTGCAGGCTCTCTGTCCCTCCGACAGCCCCTGGGGGCCTGGTGCCCAGCCCCTTTGCTCCCTGGGTGCAGGGGTGGCCTGGGGCCTGCTCGCTCTCGGGGCCACAGGGCAGCCCCCGTTCACTCCTGGTTGTAGCTGGTGTAGACCTGCTTCCACCTGCACCACTCGGGCTCCTGGCACTGGAACACATGCTTTGGAGGCTCCTGGGCCTTTCTGAACCGAGGCAGATACGTTTTCCCTGTTGGGGAAGAGAGGGCACCGGTGAAGGGGGCGCCTGGTGCAGGACAGCCCCCAGGCCTGCCCCTGCAGGAGTCGGGGGCCACAGCCCCCTGATGGCCCACACTGATGGCCAGCCTGTGGGCAGGTGCACTTGTGCACGCTCGGGTGCACCTGTGCACGTGCGCACACAAGCGTGCACACCCCCTGGAGACAGCAACCCTCTCCCTGGAGGCCACCTCTTCAGAGAAGGTGCTGGCAAAGCCCCGGCTCGAGTCCGGGCTGGGAGCTGATGCCCCTCCCCCCATTCCTAGCAAGTACAGGGAGGGTGAGAACCCGCGGTGTGGCCCCTGCTGGAGACGGAAGATAGATGGCAGGCTGCATGTCAGGGCCACCAAAGGCGGGGACAGAGTCTAGGGGTGGGGACAGGTAGAGGATGGGGTCTGGGGAGACCCACTGGCCCTCCCCAGCCCTGCACACAGGATCCAAGTGAGGCTGCGGAGAATCTGGACATTTCCACCTCCATTCTGTGGCCACAGCTGTGACCAGGGCCCTCCAAGCTGCCAGCACACACCTCTGCCCGTGCTGACCCAGGCAGCAGAGGAGCCAGCAAGGTCTCCACGAGCCACCACGGTCCCCCTGTGGGAGCAGGAGACACTGGCGAGTGTGTAGTGGGGATGCTCAGCCAGTCACCCGCTCACCAGGCACGAGGGCTGTGGGATGAAGTCAAAACTTTTCCAAAGTCAGCAGCTGCCGGAGGGCGGGGGCGGCGGTGCAAGAACTGCGGGGGGCCTTCGAGGCCTCAGGGAACAGCGATCACCCGCAGGAACACCCCCTTGCACAAGCGAGCGAGCAGACAGGGCAGGTGTGGTGCTCAGCCTGTGTGGCCGGGCACCGTGGACGGAGGCAGCCCTCCCTGCTGCCGGGACCCCACAGAAACGCCAGCTCTGCTGGGCCTCCGCTGACCGGGCCAGGAGCAGATGCCGGAGCACTGGGGTCCCCCCAGTGTTCGGCGGAATCGAGCTCCTTGGGACAGCAAAGCAAGCCCCCAGTGACAGGACCGCAAATCCAAGTTCCAGCGTAGGGAGAGACCCCCTCCCCCGCTCAGAGCCAGAACTGGGCCTGAGGGCTGCTGAGTGCTGTGTGGTCTCAGAGGGAAGCGGAGAGATGGCCACTGTCGGGTGAGGACATGTCTCATCTTCAAAAGCAAACAAGAGGAAGAGACTGGGTGCAGCTCAAGTGCAGGTGCCCCGCAAAAGGCGGCCCCCCAGGAGGTGAGTGGGCAGGACCTGTGAGGAACTGGAGGTGGGACCAAGACCCCCGTGGAGGGGACAGCCTGGCACAAGGGTGCAGCCTGAACACAGCCTCCAGGTGGCGGGCCACCTGTCTGACATTCTGGGAACGGTGGGTCTCCAGGGATGGCAGAGGGGGGAGAAGAAGCCACTCCCAAACAGAGCCCAGCTGCTGGCGATGCCTGTGGGAGAGTGGGAAAGAAGAGGTCCCAGAAACACGGAAATCAGCGCTTCAGAACGTGGGGGAGGCACAGAACACATAAGATGGACCGAGAGCCATAGGCCGGCCGCTGAGGTCACGGTGGGGCCCAGGCGCCTGGGCACAGAACCCTGAGGAAGGCCGTGACCCCTGAGACCTGCAGACCACACGGCACTGGAGCAGCAACTCTGGCCACAGTGAAAATCCACGCGACAGAAATGGAGACTGGCCGAGACGGCCCCCCGGGCAGCGCGTCAGGGCGGACAACCGTCCACCCGGGTGCCAAGCGGTCACCAGGCACATGCATCGTCTGGTTGGTTTTTGTGAAGCCGAGTTTGCAACAGGCCAGCCCGCGGTTTCCTGGGGCTGTGACGAGAACACAGACCACACGTGAGGCTCAGGTAGGACCTTGGCCTGGGCCTGGATCTCCCAGGCTCACCGTCCGTCTGCAGCTGTGGCCGGGGCGGGGAGGTGGCAGGGTGGAGGGAGGTGTCCTGCTCCCAGGTTCCCTGGGTGAGCAGGGGGGCTCCGCTCTGCAGAAGGAAGCCCCCAGCCCTGCCCGAGGGCTCCTGCGTGCTTCCCGGAGCCCGACGGGCCACACTCGAGGCCGTCTCCCCAGCAACCGCAGGACGCGGAACCCTGACAACTGTACATTCCAAGCTGTTCGGCTCCTGCCAACCTTCCAGCTCGACACCAGCCCCCTCTCCATCCACACCTGTCTCCCTGGGCCTCCGCCCCAGGCCCCCCTGACCTTACCTGGCCACAGCTCAAGTATGGGACTCAGGTAAGGGAGGCCTGCAGACTGGCCCCTCCCTGCCCACCTCCCTTCCATCTAAACTGGACCCTGCAGCCTGGCTTCCGCGCCCGCTCTGAAGTCACTGCCCTAGTCCATCCCACCTCGCTGCTCCCCGTGTGGGCCTCGGGCTGGGCCAGGGCACCTCCTTCCCAGCCTGAGGAGACCCCACAGACCAGATGGGTGGTCGGAGGCTGGAGGGGCAGGGAGGCAGGTGGCCGTGTGGGCGCATTCACAAGCCAGGGGAAGGGTGGGCAAGGCTGGGAGTGGGGAGAGGTCTCGTGGGCCGGTCTCAGACCACCCTCAGCAAACAGAACCTTTGACAGTCTCGTTTCCCAGACTGTCTAGGTCCTCGGGAGTCACCAGGTCTGCATCCTGCCCCTCTGACCTCCCTACCAACACTCGGCCCCGTGGCCCCAGCACAGCCGGCTGCAGGCTCCTCCCCCGTGACTCGGGCACGTTCACCTCTCGTCATCCTCCAGCAGGTGACCGGTCCCAGGAGGATGAGGTGAGGGTCCCCCAGGGCGGTCAGGCTTGGGTGCAGCCTCACAACCAGTGAGCAGGCAGAGGGCCTCAGCAGTGTGGCAGCACCTTCTGGAGCGGGAGCAGTGCTCAGCGGGAGCCCCAAGGACAGGTGACGGGGGGCCCCCTTTTGCTCTGTGCCGGTGGGCGGCACCGGGCCTCCACCCCTCCAGGTAGGAACGACTGGGTCCGTAACGGGGATCGCCGACCACAGGGACACTACGAGCCCCAGCTTCCCTGAAGGTCCAGAAGGCTGGCCAGGCTGCCAGGGGCAGCGGGCCCTGAGGGTCAGCCACCGGCCTGGCTGCAGCCCGGCTCCCACCAGGCCCTCGGGGAGGCACCATGGGAGGTAGGAGACGTCATAGAACTTGGCACAGACTAGGACCACGAGGCGCCCTCCCGAGACACCACGACAACTGCCCAGAGCATGATGGGAAGTGGCTGGTTCTGGTACATTCTGAAAATGGAGACAACCCAATTTCCTGAGGAGCCCGATGTTCGGGAGAGGGGTGGGGATGGCGGGCTCTGGAGCCTGTATTACGGACCCAAGGCTGTGAGCCAGGCGGCTATGGTCACGTCACCTGGTTAGTAAAAACACAAAAAACCACCCCATCAATGGGGCAGACAGATCAGTGGGACGAAATGCAGCCCGATGAAGAGAGTTAAAAGGTTTTTGCCAGAGCAACTGGCTTTACCGTGACAACCAGAGGATGGGTGCCTTATGTCCTTTAAGAAGTTGACGGCTGAAAACTTTCCCTAGAAGTCATGAGCTGGCCTGCCACTGTCACCTGACACCACACTGCACCAGCCCCTGTGGAGGGACAGAGAAGCCGGAGACCAGAAAGGCACGGGCTGGGACAGGGTGCCTGCAGAGCCAGGAGCCCGCTGACCGGCCAGAGCACAGGACGAGGACACAGCCACGGCTGCAGATGCCCTTCAGGGTGGGTAGGAGAGGTGAGCCTGGGGTCCTGCCGGCTGGGTCGCCCCATCAGTGGGTGCTGAGGACCCGCTCTGCGCCTGGCTGTGAGCACCGCCCCAACCGGGGGGTCTGGCAGCACTCATCCCCCAAATGGCGGGTCTCCCTGGCAGGGCAGGCCTCCCGCCTTGCTGTCCTCGGTGGTGGTCTGAGTGCCCAGAGCAAGCGCTCACCACACAAGGGGACCCAGACGAGAGAGCACCGGTGGCATCTGTCTGGGTGTGGGGGGTGGGAGGACTTTGGGCAGGCACAGCAGAGCCTGGCAGAGGAGCAGCAGGCGATGGCAAGGGACGGGCGGAGCAGCCAGGACGTTGACGGGACGGCCCCGTGTGCACGCAGGAGCAACATGGGCTGGCCTCTGCGGCACTGGTACCCCAGAGACCACAGGGCGGAGCAGAGGGTAAGTGGCAGTGGTGGCGGGTTCTGGAAGTGGCTGGATTACGAAGAGCCGAGCAGACGTACTGAAGGACTGGACGTGAGGTGAGAAGGCAAGAGAGCAGGGAACCTGAGCCTGCGTGAGCGGTACCAGCGGACTCAGCACAACACCCACCGCCACCTGGGAGACAGTGCTGAGAACAGCTGGCTGTGTCCCCATCCAAACAAGCGTGACGAGGCCCAGCAAGACACTCCCTCTGAGCGAGCGAGCGCGGCAGCACCTGCGTCTCACAGGACCAATGTGTGGAGACGCCCCCCCCCCCCCAGTGCAGGTCGCCCTGCATGGCCCAGGCGCCCCGAGGAGCTCGGGCCAGTTCCAGGGGAGGGAGGTGCTGGCTGCGGCCCCGACACCCCGTGCAGTACAGTCCTGAGCAGCTCAGACATCGCAGGTGAAGCGAGAAGGCGCGGGAGTGTTGGGGGCTGCGCCCCGTGTGGTCCTGCGGGGGCGCGGCCTCCTCAGTCCCCAGCACGCAGACCCTGAAGGTCAGGCGGAGGCAGGAGCATGGAGTGGGGGACCCTCCGCAGCAAATCGAGGTGCCCAACCCCAAAGGACTCGGGAGGATGCCGCGCTCCGGGGAACCCTCAGGTGTCGGGAAGAGCCACACCCTGAATGACAGGGACACAGACACCACACCACACGTGGGGAGGGCGCTCACACACACACAGATTCCTCGGGAGGCTGGAAAGAAGCTGCCGTTTCTGAGGACGCGCCGTGCAGACCTGCTGCGACCCTCCTGAGCGTGCTGGACGGTGACTCCTGACGCCGGGGAACCAGCCCTCTGCACACCCACCAAAGGCAGGCAGAGCCAGGCTAGTGCCACAGGCCCAGGCCAACGGCTGAGCGAGACATGAACACCCACTGACCCGGCGCCAGGCAGGCGCGTGTGTGCAAAACAGGCCGCAGGCGGGTCGTGGGGAAGGCGGGTGGAAGCTGAAAAGCTGACCACTGTTTAATGAAAAGCAAGCGGGTATGAAAAAGCATGGGTGTACGGGGCACTGCGGATGAACACGCGTGTGCGGCCTCGTGCAGGTTCCCCCCCACCGGGAAAGAACATGCTCAGGATGCCCGTCCTTGAGTGGGAGGTCGGGCTGTCTCCGCTGTCTCGATGCTGCCTTTCTGACAAGGAGCAGCCACGGGACCCAGCACAGAAAATAAAACCACACCCGGGAAACTGCAGTCAGAAGAACAGCAAAGATGTTTGTGGCTGTTCACAACATGCAGACCACGCTTTTGCTTTCCAGTGCTCACGTGGTGAGTGTGCACGTGTCTACAGACACGTGGGGTTGGCAGGACAGTGCCAGCCAAGTGTGTGCGTGGGCATCTGTACAGATGGGTCGGCACAACAGTGTGAGCCGAGTGTACGTGTTTGTGCACAAAAGCGTGTGTGTGTGTGGGCGCTTGCACGAACGAGCCTGGCAGGACACGCAGCATGCCAGCCATGGCCATTTCCCGGGGAGGGGACTGCAGTGGTCTTGCCTCCCTTCTGCACACACACCTCTACGCAACCCACAGTGCAGATGGATTCGCAGCCCCATTTCAAGCACCCTCCCCGCTGCAGAGGTCATGGGGGCCCGGGGTCCAGCCCCTCACCAGAAGGCCTCCCTCAGCCCCCACCAGAGCCGCCCCCACCGAGGTCGAGTTACTCGGCTGACCTTGGTCCTGCTGGGGGCAGTGGCACGGTTCCAGAGTGGCCCAGGGTCCCCAGCTGCACCCAGGAGACTTCCTCACTTCTTCCGGGTGCGTGGCCTGGGGCCCCCAGCAAACTTCTGGGTGAGAAGCCCACAGGAGACCAGAGAGGCCGGGCAAAGCCACGCTGCAGGTGGTGCTTCCACAGGCTCCCGCCCCAGCCCCCTGCGCCCACCACTCTGGTCGGCAGCCGGACCCCAGCCTCGGTCCCCTCTCTGCACAGCCTGAGGAGGCGCTCACACCCCTGGGCCCCTCCACCCCAGTCCCTGCCGGTTCACATCCACTGTCAACAATCCCCCCCCCCACCAGCGAACGCTCCAGCACCAGTGACAGAGACACCCAGCTGGGTGGGCGTGGGGTGCTGGCTATGGGCTCCTGGGAGGCCTCCAGACACCCCCGAGCACAGGAGCCCCCTCTGCAGCCCCCTCCGCTGCGGGCCTGACCCTCGTCAGCCCAAAGGCTGCCTGGCCCATGCGGGGACCAGCACGCAGACAGCGCTGAGTCACGGACTGGGTCCTAACACGGCCCGTGGGCCGATTTATTGCCAGGTCCCAGGGGAGACACTGCTGGGGCGGCAGGGGAGGGGCCTGGTGGGTGTGGACTCCCCAGTTAGGCTGGTGCAGCCCAGGGAACCCCCTCCCACCTCGCCCGGCCCCAGCCTGGCCCTGGCAGGTGACCCAGGCGAGGCCGGCTCTGCTCTTTACGGAGACTCTTCTGGCCCTGAGCGCTCTTCCTGCGGGCGGGACCCTGGCGAGAGAACTGGCAGAGGGGCCGTGAGGGCAGACCCTGGGCCAGCCACCCTCCCCGACAGCCTTTCCTAAAAGCTCCATTTTACCGAGGGGAAATGGAGGGGACAGTGAGTGTCAGAGTTCAGAGGGTTTGCGTGGGGGGCACAGTCAGCCAGATCCTGCATCCGCCGGCTGGGAGGACAGGCTCAGCTCACCCCAGAGGAGGGGGCGCCGCAGAGAGGAGGGCGTTCCCAGGGCAGCCGCTGCTGACCTCTAGAGTCGCCCGAGAGGGTGGGTGGGGTCTGGGGGAACCTGAGTCCACCAGCGGAGCACCCACTCAGGAACTGTGGGTGCACGAAGCAAGGCATCGCAGTGTGGGGAGAAAGGCTGGGCTGGCTCCGTGGCCTCCGGTCCCCACCATCCGGGACCTTGGGCAGTGGCTGGGCCGGCAGATTCCCCAGGATGACGGGATCCTCGCCCAGCTGGCGCCTGTGTGCTCAGCCCGGGCGGCACGGGGACTCACCCATGGCCACCAGGGCGCTGCAGTCCTTACTATGGAACTCGCTCCAGGCCCTGGTCTTGCAGGTCTTGCCGCAGGTCAGGATGCCGTAGCAGCGGCTGCAGGGCTGGAGGCGCACCCCCACGGAGCGGCCGCACTGGTAGCAGAACTTGAAGAAGGGGATCCTGCCAGGGGCCACGGGGGTGTTGGGTGGTACCTGCCCCCCACGCCCCAGACCTGAGCCCGCCCTGCGTCCTCCACCTGAGGACAGAGACCTGAAGACCCCCGCAGGGACGTCCATCACAGTGCCATTCAGAACAGAGAGCAAGCGCCCTGCCCAGGAGCCCACCCGAGGGCTCGAAGCCGGGGCTGGGCAGGAGGTGGGGGAGCCCACGTGCCACCTGCGGGGTGGGGAGGGTTCCGGTGTCGCGTGGGAGCAGATCCGTGAGCGTGGGTCAGCCCTGCATGCCCTCGCCCTCTGCTTCAGCAGGAAAGTGAGCCCAGGAGGACGTCACCACTGCCCCCCCTTGGCCCTGCCCTGCGCCCCAGAGTGCCGTGGACCGGGGACCCAGGCATGTGGAGACTCTTCTGGAAGAGCAGAGTGGGGGCAGAGCCGTGCCCATGGGGTGGAGGGGCACAGGTCCAGGAGACAGCACACATCTCCCCCCCAGGCCATGCAGGGCTCCTCCAGGTGCACACCCACGGTGGGCAGGGCCACGCCAGCCACTTACAGCTCCAGCTCCTCCAGCGCCTTCGGCAGGCCAGTGCCCTTCTGCTTCAGCCTGAAGTAGGGGGTCAGCTCCGCTGTGCCCAGAGAGACCGCGTGAGCCTCTGAGGCCCCCCCGTGGGGACACCCTCAGACAGTGAGCCCGCCCAGCACCTCGGCAGGCAGGTGGGGCCCCCGAGCCCCGGACAGCCCACAGGCAGGTTCCAGGAGGCAGGGTGGAGCTTGGTCTGGGGGCTTTGCGGTGTCCACAACCTGGGGGGCTTCCGTCTGCTCCCGCGTGCTTGCTCACCCTCCACAGCCCCCCAGTCGCCCTTCCTCTGTGCCATCGACCAGCTCAGGGACCCTCTCACCACAGGGCAGCTCCAGGGTCTTTGGTCTGGCCCAACGCACAGCCTACTCTGCAGTGGGGACACCCGCTGGCCACTGCAGGAGGGTGCATGACAGGCCAGCAAGAGACTGGAGGGCAGTGAGTCCCACAGCAGCCACGCAGTTCCCACCCATGTGCCCCTGCCCTGTCCTCTCTTTCTACACACGTCATCCCCACCCCCCTGGGGAAGGCGGCTCAGCCTCTGCCGCCCCACCCCTCAGTGCAGGGCCCACAGAGAAGCCCCTCCCGCCACGAGAGCAGGAAGGTGAATGCCCTCCTTCGCCCCACTCCCCCCGTGCCCACCACATGCAGGCTGCCACTGGGGCTGTTGTGGTGACAAGGACGCGGCCCCCGGTGCGTGTGCCGCCGGCAGTGCTCCGAGGGGCACGTGGCACAGGGGTGCCCCTGGGGGAGGTGACAGTGGAGAACTCGGAGCGGATCTGGCGCCCCAGCCTCACACCGTTCCCCTGGGAGGGGTGTCTAGTTCGTCAGGCGGAGCTGCGGCCTCGTCTTCACAGCCTGGCCGAGCTGCCCCTCGCATGCCCGCCCCCCAGGGCACCAACGCCGCGCGCTGCCCACCACTTGGGGTGTGGCCACCACCACAATCAACAACCCGAGCGTCGTCACGCCCCCACGAGTACTCCAGCCCCTGACGGCCGTCACGCCCGGCCCTCGGCCCCCAGCCCCCGGTGACCGTGGTCTACTGTTCTGCGTGACTTTGCCTTTGCGGACACCCGGTTCGACACACGGCCACCTGTGACCTCGCGCTCACTGGGCCTCACGTGTGCAAGGCCCTCCAGGCCGCGGCGAGCATCTGCGCTTCGGCCACACTTGTTCATTTGTTCACCAGTGGACGCGTCCAGTCTGACGGAGGTGTGGCTCCTGCCGGGACAGCACACTCTGCCTGCCTGCTCTGCCCGCCAGCACCTGGGCTGTCTTACAGACCGGCCGGGACAGAGGTGTCGGGTGGAGCCGTGCTGTGCAGTCGGCGCTGCAGCCTCTGCTCCGGGCCCCTCCCTGGGAGCGACGTCACCCCCCAGTGAAGTGTCACAGGCTGTGGACCTGCTGGCTCCAGACACCGCCCGGACCGCTGTACCTCACTCCGCCGTCACCGGGATTTCCATTCTCACTCTCCGCGCGGTTTTCAAGTCCGTCTTTTGTCTTTGTTACTGAGTTGTGACAGTTTACTCTACATGCAAGTTCCTGACGAGGTGTGTGGTCTCTGTAGGTTGCCTCTTCGTTTTTTCAAGTGTCTTCTGAAGCAAAAAAAAAAAAAGTTAATTTCGATGATGTCCAGTGGATCTATTTTTTTCACCGCTCACGCTTTTGGTGTCGTGTCTGTGAGTCCACTGCCCGGTCTGAGGAATCAATCACATCTGGGTTTTCTTCCGAGAGGTTTATAGATGCAGGGCTTGTAGTTCAGGGCTTTGATCCAAATTGAATTCATTTGTATCTGTGACGTGAGAGTCAAATTTCATTCCTCTGTGTTTGGACAACCGGGTGTCTCCACCCCGCTTGTTGAAGAGGCCACTGTCCTTGCCCCGTGGAGACCCGGGTGTGGGCGCGCGGCTTCCTCCCGCGTCAGGTCCACGCTGGCCTGCGTGCTGCTTCTACGCAAGCGCCACGCTGTCCGGCAACCGCTGTTTCGCCGGTGAGTTTAAAATTGGGAAATGTCAGTCCTTCAAACTGGTTCTTCTTTTCAAAGATTGTTTTGGGTGTCCTGGGATTCTCGCATCTCCACACGGACTTCAGAACCAGCTTCTCACTTTGTACAGAGAAACCAGCTGGGATTCTGACCAGCAGATCACTTTCCATTTGCTGAAAGGTTCCTTTTAATTTCTTTTTTCTCTTTTTCCTCTGTTCTTTCTCCTTACCTAAAGACATTTTTTTCATTGCTTTTTTTCGAGAGAAACATGAACATGAGAGAATAACTGATTGGTTGCCTCCCATATGCACCTGGACTGGGGATCGAACCCGTGACCCTTCCGTGACCAGACGATGCAACAGCAAACTGAGCCTCACTGGCCAGGGCAGGTTTTAACCATGTTCTGTAGTTTTCAGAGTGTAAGTTTCACACAGCTTCTGTTACACGCACACGTGAGTTTTTCGCTCTTACTGATGTTATTACAAACGGGGTTGTTTCTTAAATCTCACTCTTGGTTTGTTCACGGTGCCTCTGCGGACGCACTGAAGACTTCTGTGTGTTGACTGCATCCTACACCCTCACCAAACAGACGTGCAGTTTTCATAGTGGAATGTTACATTTATGTTAGTGTTTTAATGTTTATGCATGTAGTTTAATAACATCAGTTTTAGTTTTCAGAGTGCCTAGGATTTTCAACCTGCAAGATGATACAGGCAAATACCGTCCAGCTTTTCCTTTCCGACTTGGACGCAGTCCCCTTTTTTCCTGCCCGTTTACCCTGCCGGCAACTGCAGCATGAAGCAGAAACACGGAAAGCCACTCTGGCCTTCCTCCTGACCTCGGGGAGGAAATGCCCAGCCTCCCACCGTTCAAGTCCGACTCCAGCTGGGGGGGTTGCAGGAGCCTTTATCGGGCTAAGAAAATGCCCTCCGTCCCTGTTGCTTGTCCTGTGCAGCTCCTGTCTAGTCCCTGGGCCCCTCGGCGAGGCAGGTGAAAAGGCCGCCATCTGGGGCCTGTGACTAGGGTCGCTCCATCACAGAGAGGAGACACTAGTGGCTGTCCGGTGCCACTGAGGGGCTGGTCCTTGGGCTCCCCTGCGTCCAGGGACGCGCCATCCCCCTCCCGGGCAGACACCTGGCATGGGCCCCCACAGTTTCCCACTAAGTCTGATTCTCTTCAGCAAGCGGAACAAAATGTTATTGCAACCAAGCAACAAGCTCCCATGTGCACATGAGTGTGTTCTGGATCTTTCCAAAACCACCGGCCTTTTCCCTGCGTCCAGCTACCCTGCAGCCATTCCCGCCAGCGCTGCCCCAAATCCTGCTTGCTTGGACGGGCTCTGCCACCTGCTGACGGTGGGCAGGCCAGGACTTCACTTCCTGGGCAGACTGCCCCGGACACTGGCAGGAGTCGCGGGTTCAGCCCCCTGGACCTGGCTCACGAAGCAAAGCACCAAGCAGGTCCCTTTTCCTCCTCCCACAGTGTGGCCAGCCCACCCAGGAACCCTGGGTGCCCGGCCTGCAGGGTCCCGAAGTTGTTCTCGCCTGTCCCCAGGCCCCTGCACATGAGAGGGAAAGCCCATCCTGGGCCAGGGTGGCCCTCGGCAAGGACCCCTGCAGCACCTCCGACAGCTCAGTCGGCACCCCTGCCCTCCTGGGCACTGCGCCCCCACCCCGTGGCAGCGGCGCCGGCATTCCCAGGCACAGACGGTGTGGCCTGAGGTTCTCCTGGGACTCCCCATCCTCTCCTGCATGACCTCCCAGGAGGGCAGGACACGGGAGCCAGCAGTCCCTGGCCCAGTAGGTGGCCGGGGCAGCCACAGGACAGGTCTGCATCTTGTCCCTTCCTGGCCCAGCCGCTCACGCCCCAGGATCGTCAGGAAACACAGCCCGGCTCCGCCCACGGCCACCCACCTCTCTTGCTCAGGTAGAGCACTTTCGGGTCCCACTGGCTCTCCTTGGCCAGGACGGCGCGCCGCAGCTGCAAGCCCAGGTACTCCAGGAGCCGCTTCCGGGCCATGAAGGTCTCCCGTTCCGCAGGCATCAGCATGTGGAAGGGGCAGTGGGCGATCTTCCGGTCCTGGGGCACAGTGCCAGTCAGGGCGGGAGGGCGGGTCCCACTCCTGGCCCTGGCTTGTTCCCCTGGGAGGGGTACTGGGTGGGGACCACACCTCTGCTCTCAGGGCTCATTGCGAGGACAAACCAGAAGAGCCAGACATGGCAGCCACACCTGGGCAGACACCCTTGGGTGCCAGGTCTTCCCTCCCAGAAGGACGGGGACTCGCTCTGGTCCGAGGCATGAGGGACCTTTGGCCCAGCTTTGCCCAAGGGATGCTAAAGGGCCCAGCTCTATCCCCACCACCAAGGAGAAACTCAAAGCCACACCTGGAAGAATTTGAAATACCCGTAGTCCACCGCTGTGCCCACAGCCACCTTGTCCCCCTGCATCAGCGTCACAGGGGCCAGGATGTCGGCTCCGTAGTTAATGAGCCGGTCAATCTGTGGAGGACAGGGCTGCATCAGACACACGTGACCACTCTGGCAGGTCGGAGGCAGGATCCGGGGCTGGGGTGCCCAAGCCCCCGACAGCCCCTTGCTGAGATCTGGGCTGTCCAAGTCTCCCAGGCCCTCCTGACAACCTCGCCTGGTACCCTGGGGTTTCTGACTGGGCCCTGGAATCTGGATGAGCAGCTGACGGTGCAGGTCTCCATCTCAGACGCCTGCTTAGGTGTCTGTTGGTGAGCGGGCGCCACAGCGTCTGCCTCTCCGTGGCAGCGGGTGGAGACAGCGCAGCCTGGGACCCAGCGCCCGGACCCCAGCCCAGTAGGCGCCTGGTCGGGATCCCTGGCTGACACTCGCTCGAGAGAGAAAAATCTAGAATCCTGCAACTGGGTCAAACCATGGCCTGTGTCTTTCCTGAGAAAAACCAGGGACTTCTGGCCCGCTGAGTGCCAATGTCTTGTGACAAACTGTAGATCCGTACATTTCAAAAGGCAAGATTTTTTGTTATTTTAAGAACTTGGAACATCAAGGCTTGGAGAACACAGAGTGAGACCACGTGGCACGTGTCTGTCGGGGGGAAGCGCCACCAAGGGTCCCACGGCCCCACAACCTGGGGGCTCCCCCTCCCTCACGCACCCGGCCACTCACCAGGGCCAGCTTGCTGTCCGTGCCCCTCTGGTGCTCATAGGAAATGTCGCAGGCAACACACAGGGCGCTGCCCAGGCCTTTGGTCAGGGGCAGGTTGGGGTCCGCGCCGTGGGCCAGGAGCTCCTTCACAATCTGGACACAGACAGGCTGGTCAGCTGGTCGGCCCCCACCAGGCCCCTCCCTCCACTGGAGAGGCCCGGAGCAAGGCCGCTGCCGTGCTGAGCGCTGTGTCGGCTACAGCTGGGGCTCCTGGAAGCCACCGTGCACTCACTGTCTGCCTCAGAGGCACACAGGGCTCCTCAGGGAGGGCCGGCCCTGCCCCCTCTCTTATCGTCTGTCCCAGGAGCACTGCTGAGCCAGCCTGCGGCGAGGCCCCTCACCCCTGGGACCCGTCTGCCTCTGCCTGGGCCACCTGCGTCTCTGCGACCACCTGGCCAGACACAGGGCAGCCACACGTTCCTTGTTACCTGCTGCATCCCCAGCTTCTAGCCCAGGCCACCCGGGAAGCCCAGAGCAGGAGCAGCTCCGGTGCTCGGCTCCCCGGGCTGCTGCATCCTGGGACCCCCACCCCAGCCCCCCCGCAGCAGGGGCAGGGGCCTGGAAAGCTCACTGAGGCGGGGGGTGGGGGGAGCATCGGGGCCCCTGCGAGCACCTGCCTGCCGCTCCTTTAGGCCTCTGCAGGTGTCCCCTGCTGAAGGGGCCACCCTCCATCCTCTGTTCATCCTTGACCTCTATTTTCTTCACAGGGCTGGCCACTACCTAAACCCATCTCACACAGGGGTGATGGCCTGTCTTCCCCACTGGGACGGAAAGCCCTTGGGGTGGAGACTGGATTTTACTCAGCATCTCACGCCTGAGGGGCGCCCACCTGGTGCCCAGCAGATGCTCTGAAAACCACAGTGAAAGGAAAGGATGAGCAGGTGGGCAGAGCCCGGACGGCAGGGAGGTGGTGGCTGGATGAGGAGTGAGCGCAGACCTCCGAGGCAGCAGAGGCGGGACCAGTGTGCCTCCCCCACGGCACCTCGAGTCCCTGCCTGACGCGGGCAGGGCTGCAGTCCAGGCCCCTGAGGGAGCCTCCGCCCAGGCCGCCCTTCCCTCCTCCGGTCGCCCTGCTCTCCCTTCCGCGCTCCATCCACAGGGGAGGGGTCTGTGCCCCTTGCACCCGACCATCTCTGGGCCACTGCGGGGGGCCCTGGAGGAGCAAGGCCGCAGCAGCCCACCGGGGTCAGAGCGTGCTCACCAGCTCGTTCCCACTGGCGATGGACAGAGACAGCGGGGAGTGGCCGCTCCACAGCAGGCTGGTGTCCGCCCTGTGCGAGAGGAGCAGCTGGACCACGTCCCGGGCACACTGGGCAGGGAGGCAGGGCGGCAGGTGAGAGAGGCCAAGTGCCGAGCAGGGCACCATGAGATCATCCACCCGTCTCCTCCACCCCAGAGCCTGGCCCCTCGGGGTTCCGAGTCCCAGGCAGGAGTGAGGGGCAGGGATGGTGGGTGTGAATGGATCCTTAAACTGAAAATGTGTTTTCTAAACAGTCATTGTCTCTGATTAGCAACAGGAGGGCCACTGACGCATGCATAGATTGATTTAAAGCTCGTGTTCGAAGGAGGCGGAGAGTCAGGACCTTCCGGCCATCGCAGCAAGTGCAGAGTCTGCGCCACCGGACGCCGGCCCTTCAGCAGGGCTGCAGCCCCAGGACACAGCCAGGGCAAGAAGCTCATCGGGGCTGAAAGGAGACTTTCTGCACACGCCGCCCGCCCTTCCCCTCCTCACAGGAACCCGTGTCCCCTCCTCCTCCCCACTTCTCCCTGAGTGCTGGCAGGTGGGGACTGTCCCCCTGCTGAGCCTGCGCCCTCTCCCCTGCCTCACTGGCCAGGCCAAACTCCTGGGAAAGCCCCCTCGCCTCTCGCCCCACTGCAGCCCCACCGCTCAGCTCTGGGGGTCCACCCGGCCCTTCTGTCTGCGACCCAGAGAGGTGCTGCCTCTGGCGTCCCCTGACTCTGCTCCCCCAGAGCCTGTCCGGACTGGAAACTGGCACAAGGGACATGGGAGTGGGTCGGAAAGCACTGTGTTCAGAGCCCAGGCCTCGAACTTACTGACTAGGAGCCCTGGCCAGCCCGCCTCTCGGAGCCTAGCTGCCCCCATTCCTCACATGGACTCCGGGTGCCCCTCAGAAGGTTCTGGTCAGGGCGGGGCCCCAGGCCCCAGGACACCTTGACAAGAGAGGTGCTCAGAAGCAGGGAGGCCGGAGGGTGTCCCTCCCACGCCCTCAGCCAGCATCGCCAGGCGCCTGCCTCCCTCACACAGGCCCTCACGCGTGATGGCTGCCCTGTGCAGCGGCAACCTGCCCACGCCACAGCCCTCTGAACGGCCCCAACTGTTGTTTTACGGGAAGGTAGACTGAGGCTCAGCGGCTTTCTGGCCAGGGCTGCACTGGCCACAACCCTGCACAGCCCAAGCCCGTCCCCCACGTCCCCCACTCTGGCCACTCAGTTGCCTCTCGCCGGCCTCAACCCCAAGGTTGCGGGGGTGGGACAGGACAGCAGGGCCGGAGGGGCCGTTCCAGCCCAGGATGGCTACGCCCTCATGCGTGTGACAGCAATGTCACGCTGTGACCCATGTGCACGCAGGCACACACGTCAATGAGTGTCCCTAACACACGCTCTGGAAGGACACAAGGACACCCGAGTCACAGGCAGGGCCCCCGACACTGCCGGCCGTTCCAGCCCAGGTGCTGGGTTTCCGTGGCCACGACCCGTCGTCCTGCCTGCTCTGGAGCCCACTCAGGCAGGACGGCCCGGGAGCCGGTCCCCCACTAGGGCTGCTGCCCCACTGCCCTGCCCATTACAGACCCCCACGCCCACGCGCTGCGTGAGCACACACTGCCTGGAAGTACAGCACAGCTCACAGATGCTCCCCTGCACACAGCTAGTGCACACGCACCAAACACGCATGCGCATGCCAGTGTGAACACAGGTGTGCGCACACACACGCACAGGGCACGCAGCCCCAAGCCCCGGGAGGCCCCCTCACCCTGTAGTTGTCCTCCCGCTCACAGGCCACATGCAGGGGCGTCCTGCCGCCCTCCTTGGGGACGGACGAGTGTGCGCTGTAGTAGCTGCTGGGCGGGCCTGCCTCACCATTGAGCTTCAGGCTTGAAGGCAGCAGCAGGTCTAGCTGCGTGCGGACAGAGCGGTCCCGTTGAGCCCCGAGCCCGTCCCCATCACCCCGGCCGCGTCCCTGCAGGTGAGGCCACCCACAGAGGAGCTCACATGGAGGAGCTCACGCGGAGGAGGAGCGGGAGGCTCTGCCCCAGGCTGCGGGTCTGAGGCAGCGTCCCCTGACCCCCCTCCCCTCCTGCTCTCGTGCCAGGGAGCTGTGCCCACGCTGCGGCGGAGCCGGGCTGGTCTGGGGCGCCCGCCAGCCTCTCTGGGGACCAGTGGACCTTCGTCGAACTGAACGACGACACGGTCCACGGAGCGGCCCGGGCCCCGGCACCCGCCCTCCCCCACGGCAGACCGCACACCTGGTGTCTTTTGTACACGTCGTCCTGGTCCGTCGCTCGGGCGTCCACGTCCGTGATCGTGTGAAGCAGCAGCTCTGTTATCCTGACGCCCTCCACCCCGGGAAGGGCGGCGGCGATGTGGAGCGGGGTCAGGGCCCCCAGCTGCAGGGGAAACGTGGGAAAGGTGAGGCCGCTGCCCCCGGGCGGGCGACTGCCCCCTCGCACGGGCCGGGAGGGCCTGTCCAGGGCGGGCCTCACTGCCTCCGCCTGGGCCACGGACACGTGTTCCCGCTCGCAAGGTGCTTCCGTGGGCCAGGGCCACGGGCAGGAGCCCAGGGCCTGAGGCTTCAGCTTCATTTTAGAACGACTGTCCCTGCCTTCCTCCAAGAACAGCCTGTCCTCCCGCCAGGCCCCTGTTCAGACGGCCCTGCAGCCTGGACACCCGTCCCCACCGGGCCTGTCGTTCACTCGTGGCAGCCCCCTGCCCTTGGCTGAGAGAGTCCCTGCTGGACTGTCTCTAGAACGCCTGGGCAGCACTGACCACACAGAGGTGTGGTCCCTGAGGGGCACAACCACCACGGAGCGAGACCCCAGCCAGGAACACAATGCACGTCGGGCCGGGTGGAGGAGCCCCGACCCTTTGGGCAGGACCCTGAGGAGACAGGAAGGGCCCCGGAGAAAGGCTGCGAGGACCTCGCCCAGGAAGCACTGAGGTCGGCCTGCAGGGAGGAACGGGCGCTCTCCCGCCCCTGCTCCACTGCCCACTCGGACGTTTTCATAAAGCAAAGCTTCTATTTGGACGGTGCATGGAAATAGCCGACTCTCAATTGAGGATGGACAGGTGGTCGGATGGACAGATGGATGGATGGGTAAATGGGTGGAGGAAGGGAGGGAGTCTGTGCAGAATTTGAAGAAGGCTATAACCTTAGTCTTAAAAAACGCGGTCCGATCAGGAAACGTATCCTGCGTCTCACACCAAGTCTACTTCCCTGCACTATGGAGCCTCGCCCTCAGAAGAGAAGACAGGGCCTGGCCCAGGGGCCTGAGTGGTGAGAGCCACCAGCTCCAACGTGGAGGCAGAACAGAGTGGCCGGCCTCTGTCGCCAGCACCCTCCCAATAGCTCCAGGGCCTGGGGGAGGGTCGCAGAGCATCCCTGTAGCCACGGCAGGAGGACAGATGGTCCTGGCGCGTGTCCTCACACCGTGAATGGCTCCTGCAGCTGGCCCCTCCCGCCATGCTCCCCGAACCTCCGAGCTCCACCTTGGGGCCCCACCGTAGGGGGTAACTGGATGTCCGTCCTGGCTCCATTCTCCAGCAGCATCCGCACCCCGTCCGCGTCCCCGGCCTTCACGCAGAAGAACAGGACCTGCATGGGCACTCGGCACAGGTTGGGATCAGCGCCTCGGTGCAGCAGGAGGGCGATGGTCAGCCACCTGTTTCCATGTCTGGAAGGATCAGCAGGACACGGTCACAGGCTGGAGGGGACACACAGGTGGCTGCCTGGACAGCAGCCTGGTCGGGACAGGCGCTCCCCGGGCAGAGGCTGGGGGGGCACCGGCCTTGGTCATGATGTCCTGAGCCTCAGGGTCCTGCCCTTTTGAGACCTCCAGCCCCTACCCTGGTGCCTGAACTTCCCACCTGTCGCCTCACCGCCCCAGGTGAGCCAGCCCAACCAAGTGCCGGTCCAGCTGTGGCTGTGCTTGTCTTCAGAAGCCAGGGGTCCCTCAGCCTCCCCGAGGTCACCAAGAGGTGGAGTGTGGGGTGGGGACCAGCCCTCTCTCCTGGGGGCTGCGAGGCGAGGGTGTAGAGCACCTGGCACCAGGCACACCAGACATGACACCCCCACACCCTGTGCACGTACACGTGCCGCTCACAGGCATGCACACACACTGACGCACACGCATGCACACGCACGCATGTCTCTGACAAGCCGCGCAGAGCTGGGGGACGCTGGGCCGAGCGCCGAGCCCTGAGAGGCCAGCTGGGACGTTCGTTGGGGCGGGGGACACAGTGGCCGTGCTGAGGAGCCGAGCCAGTGACGCAGGTGGCAAGGGCACCGCCGGTGGGGGGCCTGCTGGTCCTGCCAGCCCCGCCCCCAGCACAGAACCACAGAACGAGGGCGAGGTGACCAGGGGAGGTGGCGTCAGTCTAGAGCAGCGGTTCCCAAACTTCCCGTTCTCGGGACCCCTTTCCACTCCTAAAATTCTTTGAAGACCCCAAACAGCTTTTCTTTACATGGATTCAATCCTTGCATGTCTACTCTATTACCAATTCAAAAAACTGAGAAATTTTTAAATACTTACTGGTACATTTAAAAAGTAACAACTACAAACCCACTGCATGTTAACGTGGAAGGTGTTTGTGGAAAACCCACTTGGCTGCACCAGGACCCCCCAACCCCCAGAGGCCCTCTCTCAAGGGAGCAGGCCTGCAACGTCAGGCTGAGCCCTGCAGACACGGCCTCACCGAGATCACCCCAGGCCGACACGCGTCACAGACGCCACCCGGGGGTGCGAACGCCCGGAACTCTCATTCTCCTGGGATGTCATCATTGTCAACAGTGTCCACTGTCCTTAAAGCAAAAGCTAGTTGTGTTCAGAAGAGTGGCTGCCACGTGCCATCTGGTCGTTCTGTCTGGTAAACATGGTGGCCCGTGGGACAACAGTGACTCTGGGTGCAGCTCGAGCCTCAAACATGCTTTCCCCACAAACCCTCCAACTGTGGCTTGAGGCAATCGGGCTTGTGGCACCCTCCCATCTGGTCACACAGAATGTCCCGAGGCCTGGGTTCCGTGTCAGGATATAAGTCAGTCGCTTCGATGGTGTCGGTAAGTCAAATTCCAAGAGAAGCCCGCGCTGTCCTGCGTGTGAAGAAGTGTCACACGACCATCACACAAGTCTTGGAATTGTTACGAGAAGCAGTTCAACCTCACAGATTCCCCGCAAGGGCCAGAGAGACCCTGGGGTACGTGAGACACACGTGGAGAACCACCGGTCTCGACTGGAAGGGGTGAGCGTGTGTGCCCTTGGGCAGACACTTGGGGACTCTGCTGCCGGGTCCCCGGAGGTCGCAGCCAGGCCGCCAGCACCGCCCCACTGGACCAGGCCCACCAGGCCGCCACGGGACCAGGTGCAGACACCGCAGACACCGCAGACACCCTTTCCCGGGGGAGCGAGGGAGCTGAGCCTGCAATTCCCCTGAACAGGACCCCCGGCCCCACACCCGCGCCACCTACCTGACCGCGCACTGCGACACCTGCCTCTCGGTCCCTCCGTCAGTGCCCATCTCGCTGAAGGGCCCCTCCGACGCGCCCCAGGCCTCAGCGCTCCTCTCCGGCAGGTCCTGCGTCAGCTCCGCGGAGAAGTTCTGCGCGCTGGACTCGGAGTTGGTCTCGCTGCCCAGCGTGTGTCTGTCCAGGTTCCCCGAAGTGTCCTCCAGCCCTTTGTCCAGGTCACTGGTGCTGTCCCTCAGCGACGTGGACTCCCACTTCTCAGGGCTGCCCCGTGGATGGTCGGACTCCTGGCTGCCTGGGGTGAATGCCAGCTCGCTGTGGGAGGTGGAGTCTGGGTAGCGGAATGTGGAGGAGCGGAACTGAGTTTCTGGGAGTTTTGGAACACCCTTTGGAAAGTACAAGAAAACCATCATTAGGAAGGAAGCGATTACAGTGGCGGCCCCGCCCAGCACCTTCCCTAGAAAAGGCCCCTGCGCAGCGCCTAGAGTGGGCTTCCCAGAACCAGGGCTGAGTGCTGGCACGGTGGCACCCAGGTGCCTTCTTGAAAGCCCAGAGGGGCAGCAAGCACCTGAGAGGTACCACACAGAGACCTGAGCCACACAACAGCCACGAGTCGCCCACGGTATGAAGACACCAGAATTACATCACCAAGCATCTCTGAGCTGTCTACCCACTCAAATGTCAGCTGACAGCCACCAGCACCAATTCGAATCCAAGGAGAATCACCAGTTTGGGGTGTGGTGAGAGAAACTGTTCTGTACAAACAGCTCAATGGTAATAGAATACCACTGTGAGGTGGCCCCCAGGCCAGGACCCTCTCTGGCTGGATAACCCAGCTCTGCTCCTTGCTGCTCTGGTCCACTGTGCCCCCACCAACACACCTTCTCCGGTTTGGCTCAAGCGAAGGACACATACCCAAGCCCTCACTCTCAAGTGGGAAGGGAAATCATGTGCCCAGACTCAGAGAGAGCTGGCTTATATGGACAGATGTTCCAGGCCCTGCTCCCTGATTGGTCACTCCTCATGCAAATGAAGATTACAAATCTTTGCAGTTTAATTGGCCCAAAAGACACTGTTGTGATTGGTGAGAGTAGAACTGCTTTGATTGGTTGCACAGCCCCAATTGGATGGAGACACCCCAGTCCTATTGGCTGACACAGGATCCAAGAGCTCCTCTAGGAGCTTGGCTCAGAGGGTGGGACATAGTTCAGGCAGCAGCTCAGTGCAGGCTGTTCCCTGACGAGTGGTTTTCGGGACTGGCCCTGGGGCAGAAATGGCTGCAAGGCTCTGCTTGTTGTTGATTTAATTTGAGCCCAGTGAGCCACCAGCCGCCCTTCTCAGTAGGGTCTTCTTTCTCAGAGTCCATAGAAGTGGTAGATTGTGGACACACCAGGTAAAATAAAGTATATTAATACCATCAATTCCACCTTTAACTCTCCATGTGACTCCTAGAAAGCTTTAAGTCACGCGAGGGGCCCCCGCTGCTGCTTGCTGGCATTTCTTCGAGGACACACTGCTCTTGTCCCAGCTCCTCAGCCTCTCGCCTGGGGGTGGACCTGGGCCCAGGGTCAGCAGCGCCAGCAACACCCATCCTTGGGCCCACCCCAGACGCACTGAGGCTGAAATGCTGGGGGTGGGCCCAGCTACCTATGTTTTCTGTAAATAGTTGAGGTTTTGGGTGGGGCCCAGAAGCCTGTCCTGACTGCAGTCTGCAATGTAACCCAGCACAGTGGCCCGTGAAGATCGCCATGGCCATGTCCCCACGGCATCGCCTGCAGGGACAGCCCTGCTCCAGGTGGCCCTGCGCTCACTCAGGTCTGTGAGCCGCTCTGTGGGGCAGTGCAGGGGTCAGAGGACAGCCTTGTCCCCACAGAGAGGACAAAGTGACAGCTTTGTGTAAAAACAACAGGAGTGGTGTTATGAGAATTTTTAAAAGATTTTTAAAAAGATTTTTATTTATTTATCTTTAGAGGGGAAGGGAGGGAGAGAGGGAGAGAAATATCAATGTGTGGTTGCCTCTCACGCATCCCCTGCTAGGAACTGGCCTGCAACCCAGGCATGTGCCCTGACTGGGAATCAAACCGCGATCCTTTGGTTCACAGGCCGGTGCTCAATCCACTGAGCTACACCAGGCAGGGCGCTTATGAGAATTTTAAGGGCACTTAAAATAAAATTCTCAGGGCACTTACGAGAATTTTAAGAATAGAATTAACGGGCTTTATTGGCCCGATTCCTCAATCAAGAGTTCACTTACTCCAAGCACATGAGGACTCCTCCAGGTACGGGGTCCTTGAGGACACTCGACTTTGGTCCCCACCCGCCCCTGAGCCTCCTTTCACTGGACCCGTGCACGCCCCTGAGTCCACCGCACCCTCTGTGCGTGGAGACGCTGCAGGGCCGACCAGCCCCATCTGTCCGGGCAGCTGCCACCGAAGCCCACTCTGCAGAGGTGGCTTCCCCACTCCCTCTCCAGCGCCCCCTTTCCTGGGGGGTCCCAGGGTCCCAGATACTGTGCACATGGCTTAAGGACACACGTCCCTCACATCCCCGCAACCAGCTCAGAACCCCTCAGTCTGCATGTAGGCTCCATCCCTGCTCTCTGCTTCTGGGCCCTGGGCCTTACTGTCCTCTCGCCCCATCTGGCCTGGTCCGTGCCAGGAGGGGCAGCTGGCAGGCAGCTGGGAAGACAGGCAGAGGGAGAGGTGACGGGGGGGCGGGGCGGGTGCCGCACCAGGTCGAGGGCCCGCGGGCTGACCTGGGTCTTGGGCACTGTCCTCTCGGCAACGTTGGGCTTGAAGGAGCTGGCCGGGTAGTAGAGGAGGAAGCACATGCTGAGAGGCGTGAGGCCCTCGTCCGTGCACTTGTTCACGTCGGCCCCGTTGTCCAGCAGCAGGTTGACAACGTCAGTGTGACAGTGAACCTGGAGGGAGAGGGCGGGTCGCACCAGGACCACAGGCTTCCCCGGGGGAGGTCCTGTGGCCGGAGCTCGGAGACCACCTCACACTTCCACTCAGGCTCGGCCAAGGGACGCCCAGCTTGTGACTCAGGCGTTCGAAGATCTATATGCCCTCACCCTTTCCCCTGTGACCCTGGACACCCCACTGAGGGACTGCCTGCAAGGACTGTAGCTCCACCGAGGGGAGATGGGATGTCCCCCACCCACTCGAGGGTGACCCTGAGCAGACAGCAGGGGGCGGGGGGAGCTCACTGCGGCGGCGGCGAGCACGGTGTAGCCCCGTGCGTCGGCCACGTCGGGACTGGCCAGGTTGTCTCTCAGGATCCCGTAAATCCAGCTGTAGTTCCCTTCCTCGGCCTTCAGGATCAGCTCCCTGGAAAGCCGCTCCTTGGGCCCGGGGCGCGCAAAGCCACTCCGGTCCCCCTCCAGGATGGCGCCCATGTTCCAGCGGGAGTGGGCCTTCGTGTTCCTGGCAACACGAGGATCTTCCGTGGGCCCAACACCTGCCGCGCGCAGGGGGACCCTGGGCCCATCCGCCTGCACTTCCTCTCCGTCCTCACCCTGAGCGGCCCCGCCCTCTTTTGCCCCTCCCCGTCAGCTCCGGAGGCTGCTCTGCTGGCCAGCCAGGGTCAGTGTGGACGTGGCACTGTGGTGGGATGGACACGCTGCCCGCAGGTGAAGATGCTCAGGCCGAGCGCCCCTAGTTTATCTGCCCCCCACGTGTGCAGGGAGGGGCTCTCACAGCAGGGGCCCTGGGTGGGGAGGGGGCCGGGCACCAAGCAAGCTCGTCCCACCTCTGCTCAGTCACGCTCCTTTCTGAGCAGAGTGCACGCAGGGCCCACGGCCCATTCTCCCTCCACACACGCACAGACACGAAAGCCTCCTGTGTCCACGTAACCTCCTTCCCAGTCACCAGCTGTGGTTTTATGGCAGCTTCTGGGCCCGAGAGTCGCCTACGGCGATGGCTATGGGCTGAGTCGACATTCGCATGACAGAGGGACTAGTGCCTGGATGACTGGGGGACGGACGGGTGAATGTGGACGGATAGACGGACGGGTGGACGGGTGGGTGGATGGATGCAGACGGACACCTAAGTAGCCACTTGTGCTCCTGCCTGTCCCCCCGACCTCGGCTCTCTGCCCAGGCCCCTGTGAAGACTGCAGACAATGACACTTTGGTGTGCAGAGGTTGCACGGGGACTTGACCGCCCGATCACAGACATGACCCCACACAGGCCTGGGGCTCTCACTTCGACCTCCACACGGGAAACACGCACGAGGTCCCCACACCAGGAGGTGAGGGCAGCCCCACAGGCTCAGGAGGTTGCCCGCTCCACGGCCCATTGCAGGCCCTGGCCGCACCCTGGCCGGCAGCCTCCGACCACTCCTTCCCCCGGAGCAGGCCCCACGGCCTCCGGCACCCCAGCGTGCCCCAGCCCCGCAGCACCAGCTCTCCCTCCCTGTCATCATCGGGCTGTGGCGACTGAAAAGAGAAGCCTATTGCCGACACTTGGGAGCCACTCGGCCTGGTGCCGCGTGGTCAGGGCAGGAGGAGTGGCCGTCCGGACATCAGGTGGGAACAGCAGCCGGCATTACCTGAACTTGTAAGCTTGCTTCTGGATTCTGACCAGAAGGGGAGTCTCGTTTTGGACGAACCAGGGCTCTCCGTCCTCAATGAAGGGAGGGACGCCACCCAGGAAGATGCTGGCGTCCAGGTCTCGGCGGAGAGTCCGGGTCACGGGCATGTGGGCGTTGTCGGTCGAGTAGACGTGCACTTCCGGGGGCAGCGTCAGCTCGTCGTCCAGCAGGAAGCGCTTGTAGTCGTAGAAGAACGGGTCCTGCTGCTCGCACAGGTCCCACCGCAAGGTCCCCTCGTCGGAAAGGCTGACTTTGGCCACAGCGTCCGTGAGGAAGCCCGCAAACTCCGGGTAACTGAGGATGGAGAAGCCGCAGGGGACCACGGTGCACAGCTTGAGCAAGTGCTCCCGGAACCACAGCCCCACGTCCTGGCTGCCGTCGGGGAAGGTCTCCACGCCTGGTCCAAAGCGCTGGTCCGCTTTGTACAGCCCCTGCAAAACGAGACCCCCGGGAAGGAAAGCTTTGTGACCGGCGTCCTGTGCCCCAGGCACAGGGACCAAAAGCAGATGAGTAGTCACGGACGCTTCTGTGCAGGGTGTGCGGTGGGCCTTGGGTGGTTGGGGGTGGCCTCTCCGAGAAGGTGTGGGCGCGTCTGGAGGTCTCGGAGCGGAAGCGTGACGGGAGTGGCACCAGGGGCCCATTTCAGCAGCTCCAACGGGGGAGCCAGCCCCGGCGCCCAGCAGCCTGTTGCAGGAGGCACCAGACTCAGGATCAGACAGACCCCAGCAGCTGTGACCGAGGAGGAGGAGCTGGTCCCCACTGCCTGTGCACCTGGCAGAGTGCAGCAGTTCCTGGGCCTTGCTGGATGCTTTCGCCAGGTGTGGAGACAGAAGAGCCGGGAGGAGCAAACAACAAGCCACGAAGCAGCCCCAGAAGAAGGGAACCTGGGACCAAAGCTCCCAGGGGTTTGGACAAAGATGCAAAAGCTGGGCAGTGGGGAAATGTCTATGTTTCCCACAAATGGGGCCAGGAAAGTTGGGTCCCTGTGTGGCGGGGGAAGGGGAGGCGTGATCTCTGCTTCATGTGAAACATGAAAATGAACTCACAATGAATCACAGACCCAAACGTGAGCACTAGAACTGTAAATCAGAAAAGAATTCAGATGAAAGTCTTAGAAACCTTGGGTTAAGCAGACTTTTTAAACAGGGCACCCACAAAACGAGACTAGGGAAGAAAAACGGGTAAGTAGGGCCTTGTCACCATTTTTAAAAGTCTGCTTTTCAAAAGACACTGTTAGGAGAATGGAAAGGCAAGCCGCTGTTGGCAGGAAATGTCTGTAAGTCATGAGACTGAAAAATGCTATGTCCACAATACAGTCGGGCGAAAGTAGGGTTTCTATGGTGCGTGAGACACAGGGTTTATTCTCGCGTTATTTATTAATCACTGTATCATTTTCCACACCGACAACTATGAACGCACTTCTGCCCCACCTTATACATGTACACAAAGAACTCCGTGACTCCAAGAGGAGCCCAAACACCCAATTAAAAACACTGGGCAAAGCACAGAAACAAGCACTTCACCTCAGCAGATGCACGGATGGCAACTTAGACTGTAAAAAGACGTTCAAATCGTGGGTCAGTGGGGTATTGCAAATTCAAACCACAAGACAGCCATTAGAATGGCTAGGATTTTAAAACTGCCAATACCAAGTGTTGACAAAGATGCAGAGCAACTGGAAACTTTACGTGGAGATGGTTGAGATGGACAGTGGCACAGCTGCTCCAGAAAACCACTGTGCAGTTTCTTATAAAACCTACCACACATACGGTTGCTACCCAGTCACAGTGCTTCTCCAACTGACACTAAAGACGTGTGTCCACGTGAAAAGGAAAGCTCTTAGCAGCTGCCCTCATAAAAACCAAGCACTGGAAAGAGCTCAAATGTGCAGCGGCTGGTGCAGCAGCAGACGATGACCGACACGGAATGCGGCTCCTTCACATACAGAAACAGACAAGAGACACAGGCAAAACATGCGTGAGTCTCAGCAGAATCACACCCTGCACTGCAAAGAAACAAAACTAACTGCTGCATGCTATGCGATTCCATTTACATGGGACTGCGGGAATGGGGACACCGCAGTGATGAAGAGGAGGTTGGTGGCTGTTGAGGGCTGGGCGTGGAGGACGGACTGGTAGGGAGCCACAGGCAATCTGTGAGTGTGTTTGCACACATACACACACACACAGACATACAGACACCCACAGGTTTGCGTATACATACACGTTTAACGCAGCTTTTCTCAAAATCGCCGGAAACTGGCAACAACCCACGTCTGCTAGCCGGGGAGGGGTCAGCCGGGTGGCCCTCCAGCGAAAAGCCACTGAGCGGCGAGAAGGACAAGGGCCACACACAGCCACACACATAGTCTGAAATGCACTTTGCTTCTGAGGCACAGGGCGCGATCTCACGCACCCGGCATTCTGGCCAAGGCGGCCTGACAGGCAAGGAGGAGTCAGACAAGGGCTGGCGCGGGGAGGAGAGGCCTGTCACACTGGGGCGCGGAGCAGCGCTGGGGGTGCCGCTGGCGGGGGCTCCATGGTGGTGGTCTGTGCTTGTCAGACCTCCAGAACCTCGCACTGTGTAACAGTGGGTGGGTTTTACTGTAAGTTATACCGTAATAGAATAAAATAAGGGAAAACGTGTCTGTATTTGTACAACCGGCAATAGTCTCCGGGGGAAAAAAGGGGCAAGTTCCAAAACGATATACAGAGAATGATCCAGTTTACGTGTAAGAACGTAAGTATCGACGTGCGTTTACTGTTCTGTCTGAAGATCTGTACGACTTGCTAACACTGCACCCCACTCTGGGGACCCAGCAGTGAAGAAGCTTCCAGTTTCTTCCTGCTTTCATTTCTACTCTCCTGTGCCTTATTACTGGCACGATTACATACGAACCTATATGCATGTAAACAGGAAACAAACCTACACATCCTTCCGCCCAGTGGCCTGAAAATATGTCGCCCCCGCCCCTCCGCCCGCACACGGCCCCCGCCCACTCACCCGGAAGAGCCGGGCCTTCATGTACATGGTGCCGTAGCCTTCTCGGTGGCTGAGGTAAAACATGCCGGTGAAATGGGAGCCGTCCGGCCACGTGTAGGTGCCAAAGCCGTGGCAGTGGTCCCGGTAGAACTGCCCGTGGTAGGACTGTGGACAGAGCACTCTGAGACGCCGCCCTCGCCGCCACCCTCGCCGCCCAGGACGCCCTCCCAGCTGAGCCCCACACCGGGCCAGCTGCGAGTGGGGGCCCTGGGCTTGTAGACTCGTGGGCTGCGTGGCCACAGGGTTCTGTTCAAGTCTGGGTGGCCACCGTGAACAGAGCTTGGTCACCCAAATGGTGCAGAGGGTGTGCCAGGTGGCCACCCGGTGGCCACGTGCCCTCCTGCCAGGCTGGGGGCCAGGGGGAGTTGAGTCAGGAAGGGAAAAGCCATGACCATGACTGGGTCGGTGCCCACCTGGGTCTGGGCAGAAGCTGTGTCCGCTCCCAGGCCCTGGCCGGGCCTCAGCTCCCACCCTGCCCAGCACCCACGCAGGTTCCCAGGCCACAGGAAGCCCAGGGAGGGGGGGCCGCCAGCCTCCTGTCACCCATGTGGCTCTGGGGGAGGGCTGTAGGCTCTGGCTAGGAACCTGGGTGTGGCTTTGGTTGTAAACTCCGCCACATTGGGCCCCATCAGGGTCCAGGGGGGTCTGTCGGAGCCTGTCCCCCACGCGGACCCCAGGAGGAAGCACGTGACGTCCAGTCGGCAGACTTGACTGACTGCCATGCCTGTCAGACACTGCCCTCCGCACCAGAAGTGGGCAGGACAGCACGCGGGTGACTGTCCCTGCTTCGCACCAAAGGGACACACGCTTGCCTGCTAGTGTCCCTTCTCTCCCCTTGAGCAGCTGAGCCGACTCCCCATGGGTTTTTCAGTGGACTGACCCTCCCCTGCCCATGCGACCAAGCCTGTCCAGCCGGAGGACTCCTGACCAGCAGCTGAGGCCTTGGCTGGGGGACCCATCCCCAAGCCAGACCAGGGTCCCGCCAGGGCCATCTGTCCCCTGCGGCGGCGTGTGATGCTGCCCTGTGGGCTTGCCCGTGGGGGAAGGTCAGCCTTGCCTCCTCCACCGGCCACCAGACCCCTGGACCCAGCCACGTAGAAGGCCGCAGGGCCCCAACGAGGGGCTTCTGGCCCCAAGAGCCAAGTCCCTTTTTGTTTCAGCCAGGTCCCACTCAGGTCACTCCTCCCGAGAGTCTGGCGGTGGCAGACAGTGGTCAGCAGAGTAGCCCCAGGATGGGGGTGGCCACATCCCACACCATTCGGTGTGTACGGCGACTCGGGGGGCGGTGTCCATGTCTGCCCAACTAAAAAGGAACGGCCTGTGTGTTGCAGACTGTTTGTGGGGGCCATTTAACTCCCCAAGTGAGGGAGTTCTGTCCACACCCAGCACTGGGGCCAGGGCTCCTGCCTCCATCCTCCCCACTCCGGTCTCGTCTGACCAGCAGCGCCAGCTCAGGTCCCTGCGCTCCTGCCTGGGTCCTGGTCACCTGGTCTGGAGGCTCCTGTGAGCTCAGGGCATGTGCCAGGGGTCCTCAGGCAGGAGAGGCTCAGCCTGGCTGCCCTGCTGCTGCTGGGCCTGTGCGTCCACATCACATCCCTCTCAGAAGGAACGGCAAGGGCGCTGGTTGGTTGAGCCCCGGGCCAGGGGGAAGGAAGCGTCGGAAGCCACTTACCTCGCCCGTGGGCCACGAGAACTCTCCCGACCCCATCTTCATGCCCAGCCCGAACTGCCCTCGGTAGACGCAGCCGTCCTGCCACTCCTGCACGCCTGGGGCCAGCTGGACGCAGGCCTCCTGCAGGTCCTGCTGCCTGAGCTCGCCCTCGGGCTCCTCCTCCTCCTCCTCCTCCAGGGCCTGTGGCCCATACCTGGGGTAGGGGGTGAAGGGCAGAGGAAGGAGCACTGAGTCGGCCAGAGGCCTTGAGAGAGAACCCAGCTCTGCCCCCACTCTCCCTCCCAGCAATGCCGGGGCAGAGGCTGCGGATATCCCCATTCTCCAGAAAGGGAAGGTGAGGCAGAGGGTGCCACAGGAAGTGGATCAAGGAAGGGTTCAGGGGTGATGGGCACGCGGGGGGGACAGAACGTGTACCTGGTGGGCTTGCCTCTTTCCTGACTCAAATGGGATCTGCCCACCCCCCGCCCTGCCCAGCACACACTCCCTGCCTCCCTCCCTACTCCAAAGGCCTCTCTTTGGGGCGCTCCACGTGGGTGTCTGTCCTCCAGACCCGCCCCGCTATCAGGCTGCACGTGGCTGGGGACACTCAGACTCCGAACTCCCCGCACCAGACGGCCCTCCCCTGGCAGCCGCGGGCTGCGCAGGCCTGAAGCGCCCGCCCAGCGGGGAGCACCTGGGCTCCAGGCGCACAGACCTCTATTCGCCACATCACTGCAGGTCTGCAGAGAAGCCGGAGAAGGACAGACACCCACGAGAGAGGGTGATGAAGCCTGGGCCTCAGACATGGTTTGCTTTTGGCTTTTCCGGGTTTTGTTTACCTGTGGGTTGAATTGTGCCCTTACCACACCCCCCCCCCCATTCATATGTTGGAGTTCTGCTCCTCCAGAAACACAGTGTGACTTGATTTGGACCCTACTCCGATGAGACTGTTGTCCTTGTAAAAGGAGGAAGTCGGGATGGGGCGGAGAACAGAATGTTAGGACTGGTGGGCAGAGAGCAGACGGCTGTCCGCACGCCCAGGGAGGGGCCTGGGGCCGCACCTCCCACTCCCGCAAGGAACGACAACCCTGCCCACGACTGGACCTTCGACTTCAGAACGGAGAACAGCAGTGGTTGAGTAAGGCCCCCAGTCTGCGGTCCTTCGCCACAGCCCTAGCAAACCGACACACCAGCATTTTCTCATTCTCTGCCTGGCACGGATATTACTTGTTACTTAAAAAAAATAATGGGGAAAGATAACTGACCGTGGGAATATGAGAAATAAAAACGTCCAAAAGTTTTCCTAAGAAAAATCAATGAAAATGATTTTGAGGTCAGGCAAGGGAATCATTACTGCAAGCCACCAGCTGTGAGGCCCCCTTCGGGGACGCTGGAAATGGGGGGCAAGGTCGGCCACAGCTCGACCACTTGGCCCTGCCACCAGGTGGGTTCCTTACTCCCTTGGGACTCAGTTTCGTCATCCGTTCAATGGGGACCATGTCAGGCTGCTCCAGCTGCTGCAATGAACAGCATGGGTGGGGCCCAGACCCAGGCAGGTTTGGCTCCCAGTGGCAGGGGCTGCAAGTCCAAGGTCGGGTGCCTGAAGGCCTGGTTCTCCGTGAGGGTCAGCTTCCCCTGTGTCCTCACGTGGTGGGAGGGAAGCTGTTAATTAGTCTCTTCCTCTTCTTATGAGGCAGTGATGCCACCGCGGGGTCCCACATTCAGGGGCTCATCTGACCCAATCACCCCTAAGCCCCCTTTCCTGATACCATCACATGGAGGGTTAGGGCTTCAACATGGCGATTCCCCGGCTGGGAACACAGTTCGGTCCACACCAGGGACAGACACAATGAGGTTACAGGGTGATTTCCTGAGATGCCAGGGCAGCTTGAGAGGTGAGGGCAGCACCCAGCCCAAGGTAGGCCTGCCACGTGCCAGCCCTCAGGACAACATCCTGTGAAAAAGCCGTGCCAACCTGGGACCATGCAAAGTACAGCGAATGTCCCTGAGGGGGGGAGGTGACACGGCAGAGGCAGAGTGGACAGGCTTGAAGGAGGGAGCAAAGGTCAGGCTCTGGGGCCCAGTCGCCCATTACAGTAATTGTCCTGACCGTTGATACACCATCGAGGTTTTTCTGTTTCTCCAGAGACTAGCGTTTTGAGGGATAAAACAATGTTCGGCGATTTCGTAGCCCCTGCCCAGAAGCCGGATCCCAGCGAAGCCTGGCCCCCAGGGTCGGAGGCAGGCCTGCCTGTGGAAGGGTCCCCACACCTTTTGGTGAAGAGCGTGGGGCTCTCCAGGGTCCCCGGGTCCTCGGAGGCAGCCGGCTCGCTGCCCCTCCCCTCCTGCAGGTCACTGCTTGGGACTTCGTACCACAAGTCCGAGGAATAACCCCCTTCCATGACTCTTGTCTCTGAACCTGGAAGCAGAGCACGAGACCCGTGTTAGCTCCGGCGGCTTCTGGCCTGTGCCCACAGACCGCCCACAGCCCCATCGGACTCAGAAACGGTCCCCTCTCCAGCTGGACCGGGCCCAAGGCCGCAGCCCCCCACATCCTGTTAGAACCGTCCGGGAAAGCTTCTCCAGAGCTCCGAGGGTGTTCCTGTCCCTTCGTGGGGTACGGGGGTGGGGGGGGACCACAGGAGAAGCCCATGGGACACTCTCCCACGACCACAACCTAGAGCCTTGTGGTGGGGCCAGTCCTGCGCCCGCTGGCTTCCCGAGTTGGGGGCACAGTCAAAGGGCTCCCCCTTACCCTGGGGGGACCTCGGGAGTCCACCTACAAGGGCTGCGGGACCGGGCTTGAGGACATGGCCTCCACCAAACCCCTAACTCATACTAACTCACAGCCTATCACGCACGTGGGGTACGGTCCCAAACTTCCCTTCTGCTCCCCCGGGAGATGTGGGACCCGCCCACAGGTCCCCAGGTGCCTCTGAGGAGCTCAGAGAACCCCCACATCGACTCACCGGGACTCGCTGACTCCCCACAGGGACCCCGACAGCTCCCCTGACACGGGGTCGCACCGAGGCTCCGAAAGCTCGCAGTGATGGCCCGGGTCCGCCTGCAGCGCCGCGCCACTGTCGTGTCCACTGGGCTCTGCGCTGGAGTCCCAGAGCTTCGGGTTTCCCTGGAGACCGGCCCAGTCCACGTGCGGCTCTCCCTCTCGGCCAATCCCGTGCCAGGCCTCGACCTGACACGCCCACAGACACGCCCCACTGTGCGAAGACACGCCCCCGGACGTCCAGGAATCTGGGCAAGACGTGCCCCTTGGGGACCTCCCAGGATTCCCTGGCCCTGTGCCCCCCATTCACCCTCTCCCGGCAGTGACCCCTGTCCCCCCAACCCCGGCGCCCCCGCACATCCGCGAGTGCTGTTGGCTTATCTGAGCCCAGCTGTTGGCTTACCCTGCAGGCCAGTCTTCACCCCCACCCACCCACCGAGTTCAATGTCCCCCTAGAGGACGGCGGTCAGCGTAGGGGCCAGGCTCCGCGGGGGACATAGCGCTAAAGGCTCCCAATGCCTCCGTGCAGAGAGCCCCGAGAAAACTGAGGCTCACCGAAAGGATGAATTAACTTGTCCACCGTCAGGGTAAAGCCAGTGTTTGTTAAAACTCTGCCTGACCCTAAAGGAAATGTTTGTGGAGGGCACTGAGGGGCAGCGCGTGGTCTGGTCGGGGTACAAGATGAGGTTGGAGTCCGGGGTCACTGGGACCACATTTTAGAATTTAGAATTGTTTAGCCAATATTACCAAATTGTTTCATTTGCCAGAAATATTTTTAAGCGTCCTTTGCATTGGCTGATGTATTAGTTTCCTGAAGCTGCTGTAACCAAGTGTTACAAACTGGGCGCCTTAAAGCAACAGGAGTTACTTTCCTCTGTATTGGGGTCTCCCAATCTTCCTCTCTTTATAAGGACACTAGTCACTTGGTTTAATCCAGTACGACATCATTATATCTACTAAGACCCTGTTTTCAAATAAGGTTATTAACAGCTGGACAGCTGCTGAAGACCAGCTAAACTACCTACGTTCGTAATACTTTCAGGTGCAAGAAGAGGTTCCTGGCACAACCTTGAACTGAGATGGCAGAAGGTGACAGGGTGATTTTCCTTTGGGTGTCTTAAAATGGGGTTTGAGGCAGAAACTTGCTGCCACTTCCAAGACCTTGGTGATCATAGACAGCGCTGTGAGTGGGTCTCTGTTCTTGTTCTTTCAGTCCTTGAACTGACCTGGGGGTTGTAATGACAAATATTTATGTCATACTCTGATTTTTCCTCTCCCCTTATTTTTGCTACCCCAATATTTCAGGAAGAAACTTCCCATAAAATAAAAGATTCCTTTCTTTTCTACTGAATTCCCATTTTTTGGAGATTTGCCTGGTAGGCAGCGAGCAGTAGGACCTCCCCCCCCTCCCCGCCCCCACTACTGGTTGGGTTTGGTAACACATGGTTGCTGATGAAGCAATCATGGGAGAACAGCTTCACTGATTGGCTGGGGGAAATGCGGGCCCCTTCTGGGGCTGGGGGACAGAAAATCTATTTCAGTGGCTCCTGTGAACTTGGGAAAAATGGGAATTTCATCCCAGGAATGTCGAGTCTGTCCTTAGGACAGAAGAGGGAGGTGGATTCTTCTGGGTGGGCCTCTGTTCGTGTTGTCTGGACCTGCAGCAGCTGAAGACCTGGCTGCAGATCTGCATTTGAGGCTTTAGCTCACAAGGGAGCCCCTGGTTGCAAGACAGATCTGACTGTCAGCAACGCTCGGTGGCTGCAGCTGGAATAAAGAGAACCCAGGTTGCCCAGGGGGACTGTACAGGTTCATTTGACCAGATTTATCCAGTACCAGGCCTGTGTGCATGATGGGGTTGGGGGCCGGGAGTGGTCTGGAAGGAGAATAACCTCTGGAAGGATGGATTGCAAATCTTAGGTAAACAACGGAGAGGAATCAGAATTTTTTTGGCTACTATTAAAGTAAAATGGAAATTGTGACTAAATAAATATATGCAACGCTGCAAGACAGTTACTTTTCACTGAAACCATTCCCTAAAATATACTATCAGAAAAACATCTATTTAGAGGTCTTCTTGATAAATCTTATTGTAGCGGCAACTGTGTGGACATTAAATAATATAAAATTTTAAGTAGTTATAATATTGTAAATTTTTAGTTACACTGATGGCCCCAAAATTAATAACTAAGAAAAAGACAAGCAATGAAAATACTGGTTTGGAAATGATGAAAAGTTGATGGTAAATAGCTTTATTTATATGAACCATGTTTTACAATAAAAAATAAAATGCATAAGTTACAAAGGATAATTTATTAGGAGACAAAAACATAAGGAATAAGCATAAAGCTGGACTCAAGGGCACCTCATCCGACAATACAGTTATATAGGATGTGGTTACTAAGAATACACAAACCTGCCCTGAGTGGTGTGGCTTCCTGGAACTGAAGAGTTGCCTGTTCGATTCCCGGTCTGGGCACGTGCCTGGGGTGTGGGCTCGGTCCCGGTTGGGAGGCAAATGATGGATGTTTCTCTCCCTCCCGCCCCCTCTCTAAAAATAAGCTTAAAAAAGGAACGCACCAAACTAGGTGGTTCACCAAGGAGACAACTGGCCATGGAGGGTACTGATGGGGGTCCTGATGAGAATCTGTGAGGCGGCCCTCCACTCCGCTGCACCAGGGACTTTCTGTCCTTGTCACATCAGGGCGCACACACGCGCACACACACACAACTAATCTGCAGCAGCACACCAAATATATATTTTTTGCCCATCTGACAATAGGTATATGAATTCATTCACACAGGGCTATTGTTATGTTTACTGTTGTCACTTTTTAAATTCGGCAATCTAAGGGGGCAAAGTTCAGTGCTCCTGACCAAATAGCTAGGTAGTGCATGTTTTAAAAATTCTCGCGGCACACCAGTGTGCCTGCCGCAGCACACTGCTTACAAATCGCTGCTTTTCACGGCAGCCGCAGCTTGCGACGCCGCCCCGCCTTCAGCCCTGCTGGAGGCCTACTGGCCGGTCCGCTGGACACACTCCAGCGCAGCTGTCCGGGTCTTTGAAGCTTCCCGGGGTCGCAGTGACCTACACCTGCAGCTCCAGAGGCCCCGCCTCACAGGGCGGCTGCCGTCCACCAGCATCCAATCAGAGAAGGAGTCCGCAGAGCCTGACCAGTGAGGAGGTGGCAAGGGCCTTGTGGGAGGGCCCGCTCATGCACAGCTAGCTAGGATGCTGCTCACCCGAGGCTCCCCGCCGCCGGACTGGCTGCCTAAAATAGACCCCCGGGCCAGGCGCCCGAGCGCCGGTCATGGACTCCGGACGAACTGGACGCCTCGGAAGTCCTGAGGCAGCATCGCCGCCGTTTGTGCACGTCGCCCCGTCGCTCTTCCTCGGGAACGCGCGCGCCGCGGTCCAGCCAGAGTTGCTGGCGCGCGCAGGCGTCACCCTGTGCATCAACGTCTCACGCCAGCAGCCCGGGCCGCGCGCGCCCGGGGTAGCCGAGCTGCGCGTGCCCGTGTTCGACGACCCGGCCGAGGACCTACTGGCGCACCTGGAGCCCACCTGCGCCGCCATGAATGCCGCGGTGCGCGCCGGCGGCGCGTGCCTCGTCTACTGCAAGAACGGCCGCAGCCGCTCGGTAGCTGTCTGCACCGCCTACCTCATGCGACACCGCGGACTCAGCCTGGAGCAAGCCTTCCAGGTAGGCGGGCCTTCCGGCGGGGTGGGACCATTCTTTGGAGCGAGTCTTCCTGGAGGGGCGGGGCTCCAGGCATGGGCGGGGCTCACTTGTAGTCTTTGTAGCCAGCCCTGCGCAGCCTTTAACCTAATCCCCTTGTTTGCAGACGGTGAAGAGCGCGCGCCCGGTGGCCGAGCCCAACCCGGGTTTTTGGCGTCAGCTCCAGGAGTACGAAGAGGCCCTGCGGTCCGGGTCCCACCTGCCCAAGGGCCCTCCGGACAGTGAGCCCTAGTTGCTCAGTCCAACCACCAAGTCAGGGCTCCGAGTTTCTGAGGGTGAGCTAGTCCATGCACACCCCTAATTTATTAGACAAGGAAGATAAAAACCACTTGAATTTAAAGCGGAAAGGCATTTCTTACAGGGACATCAAGACCAGGAGCCAAGGTCAGGAAATGGGGAAGTTCAGGGGTCACAGACACCTGCCACCCTGGTGCTGGCTCCTGACTCCTGGGGCTGCTGGCAAACTCGTGTCTGCCACCCACTCGAGCCATAGTGGCTTTTCCCCAGCCTCACAGTGGTCCCCTCTGAGGTCTCAGAACCCAACACAGGATCTGGCCGGCCAGGACCACGATTTCCAGACTTGTAACTGCTGCGACATGCAGGTGAGCGTGCAAGGTTGTGACAAACTGTCAACATGCCCACCTCCTGCCTTCCTCACGTCCTAGTTTCAGCTGCAGCATCAAGCCCACGTTTGCTCTCCTGCAGCCACCTTCATACCAGCAGCACACCCACCATCTGTGCATCGGAGCCTGTGTACCCCTCTTCTGGGCACACACCTCACCTGGGCATCCTGTGGCCTAGAAAATGGATCACCATCAACACTTTTTTAAAAAGATTTTATTTATTGCGTGGGGGAGGAGGGATAAAGAGGAGAGAAGCATCAATCAGTTGCCTCTTGCATGCCCCCAACCAGGGACCTGGCCCACAACCCAAGCATGTGCCCTGACCAGAAATCAAACTGGCCACCTTTCAGTTTGCAGACAGCACCCAACCCACTGAGCCTCACCCATCAGGGTATCACCACCATATCTTAAATAAGATAGTGGGGAAAAGAAAAGGGGAAAATGGCTACTACATGCCCTCAACGAATTACCATTGGTGCCAATTAAGTGCCAACAGGAATCCCCGATTTGGGGTATGGCTGAGAAGGAAACTTCACTGTGAACAGCTCAACTGCAACACAGCACAGTTTTAAAAGTGACTGTGAGGCCCCTGGGGCCCCTCTGCTCTGCTCCTCGAAGCTTTTCAGCGCTGTGCTGGTCTGCTCTGTGCTGTGCTCCAGCAAGACACCTTTAATGTTTCAGCCCAGCCAGGAAAAATCTTCAGTATCAGGTGGAAAGAGAAAGTGCATTCAGAGCTAGAGCAGAGCTGGCTTACATGGGCAAAAGTTCCTGCCCCTGGTCCCTGCACATGCAAATGAGGACTCCAGATCCTCCCAGTTTGATTGGTCCCAAAGGCACTTGTTCTGATTGGTCAGAATAGAACCACTCCTGTTGGCAGGAGCTGTGCTTCTGATTGGATGGGAAGGCATCAGTCTTATTGACTAACACAGGATTTCAGGAGCTCCCTTATAAGGGCTGCTCAGAGGGCAGGGGCAGTGCACGTGAGTAGTTCAGCACACCAGAGGCTTATCCATAAAGTGCACTTTGCAAGAGAGGCCCTGTGTAGAAATGGCTGCTGGGCTCTGGGTTTTGTTTTTGTTTTTGAGGCCAGTTAGCCACCAGGAGTCCTTGTTAGTGGGTATCTTCTTTCTCAGGGTTTATAGTGTGAATTCCAGATACTGTACATAATTCCTGGTTAACAAATACAAATATATATATAATGAGATAAAGACTAAAATAACCGTAGTTTGTGTCTATCATTTCCCTTCCCACCAGTCATTTCACATCCCCTCCACCCTTGGCCAGCTCCTCCCTGGCGCTGGTCTGTCCTGGAGGGATGAGTCTTCACCCTGCGAGGCCCTGAGTGGCCCCTGCCTGCGTTTGGGCCGTGCCCTCCATTTCCTTCCCCACTTGACCAGGGAGGGGTCAGGAGGGTGGCCCAAGCTCCAGCGTGCTACTCCAGTCCCCATGGAGTGGCAGCAGAACCCCACTGTCCCTGGAGGCCAGGGCCAGTCCCTCCAGCAGAGCAGCCCTGACTTGCCTGATGCCTCAGGTACGAGGTGGTGACTCAGCCTCCCATCCAGGGGAACAGGGTGTGTCCCTGGGTGTACTTGTCCTACCTGGGAACTGAGACATCTGCCCCAGCAAAGCCCAGAGCTGTGGGAACCGGAAGCTCACACTTTGCGAGTGGAACACGAGTGGTTGTGAAAGGGGCCGCCCCCTCCCCAGTCCTCTAGCTTCTGCACCTGGGACAGAAACCGTGTCACCCACTGGTCCCTGGTTCAGATCATACACCACACCCAGCCCTGCTGGGGGTCACCAGGCAGCAGCCCCCACCCGAGAGCCGCAGCCCCAGTCATGACCCTACTTCTACCACCTTAATGGAAGGCCTGCCAGCTGACACATACTCCCAAGCCCCTCACAGCTCATCCCCATTCTCAGCCCTGTGGGGGTCTGCTGCTACCTTCTCCACTTGGCAAGTGCCCCACTGGCTCCATCTGCAACCGCGGGAGCTGAGCAATTTGCCCGGTCAGGAGCAAGGACCGGAGCCCAGGCAGTTGCCCTGTGTACCGCCACTGACCCCTGCTCAGGGCACTTGTGATGGCATGCCCCCAACCTGCTGACCTGACCCTGGGTGACAAGTGCAAAGACGACAGAGCCCGGGCCAGGTGGAAGGGACCACGGTCGGCGACTCTCAGAACAGAGCCAGTAGGATAAGAAGCTGGCCTGGGTGTGGACCTCTTCCTACAGAGGCCTCTTCCTACTGAGCCTCTGGCTCAGGACGGACCCCTCCACCAGGTGACAGCAGGAATGCTGGGCTCCCAGTGCATTTGGGGTATGGGCCCCAAGAGGGAGGCCGTGTCCCCCAGCTGAGATGGTACACGGGGACCTGCCTTGGGAATGTGCTCTGCTGTCCTTCCCATCCCCAGGTGGGGATGGCAGGCCCAATCACATGATTACCATGGGGACACCGAGTCCAGAAAACTCAATACTACTCAGGGATGATGACACTGAGGTCAAGTGCAGGGCCTCAGTCCAGCCCTACACCTCGCCACCAGGCAATCACGCAAGGCAGAGAGGTGTGCAGGGCTCCTGGACACTCCCCAGAACAAAGCCCCTTCCCCCCAAGGCCCCTAGTTCTTACAGTCACTGATCACAACATCGTGATGGTCCCTCCCAAGCCACTGCTCCGAGGTCCACCTGGCACTCTCACGGGGCATCTTGCCTGGTCTGCAGCTGGCCCCTCTGAGCCCAGGGTCCAGCACAGCACTGAGCAGATGGGAAGGGGGCAGGCAGGCAGGCCAGGTTTGGTTACCGGCCTAGCACACAACTCCTAAACCATCTGGCCTCCGGGGCCCTGCAGACCATCAGGCAACACTGTCCTGGGAACTTCCTTCCACACGGAACACCAGCCCTGCCACCAGCCGCACACTGCACTCCACACACGAACCAAGACCTCAGAACACGCTGCTCAGGCAACCGGGAAGCTGAACTGCTCATTAAAACCTACGGAGCCACACAAGCCTGGCGGCCACCTGACCTGACAGCATAGGCCGGCGGTTCCTGAGCTCCCCCTCACCCCACAACGCCCACAGCACCGCCGCTGGTTTCACGGGGCAGTGAGGTGGGGAGAGAAGAGGACCACTACCTCAGCCCCAGTGGATGAATCGCACTGAGTTCCGGACGCTACGCTTCCTGGCTTCAGAGGCAGTCACTGCCCCAGGAAGCTGGCGCGCAGCGTCCGGCGGCGCTTGCGGGGGTCTCTAGGGCGCCGGCCAGGTAGGAAGCTCACAGGGCAGGGAGGCCACTTGGCTGCTTGTTGCACGAACCCCAGGGCGCCCCGGTCTTCCGAGCACAGTGTCCTCCCGGCCCCTACATTCCAGCTCACTACAGGCACAGAGCCCTCTACTCCCCGACCCACCCCGCGCGCAGTGCCCCGACCACCCTAGTGTGCCATGCACAGCGCCCGGGCCACCTGTACACGGTTTCTCCCGCGCCCGATTAACCCGCGCACAGCGCCCCGGTCCTCGATTCACAGCGCCCCGGCCACCAGGTCCCCAGCTCACAGCGCCCCCGGCGGCGGCCAGGCGGAGCCGGAGCGGGGCGGTGCACCGCGCGGGGCCGGGCCGGGCGGCTCCCGTCGCGACTTCCTGTTGTGCCCGCGCCCCGCCGCTGCTGCCGCCGCCCGGCACCCCTCGCCGGCTCCCCACGGCCCGGCGCGGCGCCGCCCATGGATTTCACCTAGCGCAGCGGCATGGCGGCGCAATGCTGCTGCCGCAAGGCGCCGGGCGCCGAGGCCGCGCCCGCCCGCCCGCCGCCCGAGCCGCCACCCGCCCTGGACGTGGCCTCGGCCTCCAGCGCGCAGCTCTTCCGCCTCCGCCACCTGCAGCTGGGCCTGGAGCTGCGGCCCGAGGCGCGCGAGCTGGCCGGCTGCCTGGTGCTCGAGCTGTGCGCGCTGCGGCCCGCGCCCCGCGCGCTCGTGCTCGACACGCACCCAGCCCTGCGCTTGCACTCGGCCGCCTTCCGCCGCGCCCCCGCCGCCGCCGCCGCCGAGCAGCCCTGCGCCTTTGCCTTCGCCGCTCCCGGACCCGGGCCCGCGTCCCCGCCCCCTCTGCCCGCCTTCCCCGAGGCGCCCGGCGCCGAGCCTGCCTGCTGCCCACTGGCCTTCAGGGTGGACCCGTTCACCGACTACGGCTCCTCGCTCACTGTCACGCTGCCGCCTGAGCTGCAAGCGCACCAGCCCTTCCAGGTCATCCTGCGCTACACCTCGACCGACGCCCCTGCCGTGAGTCCTGTCAGGATGGGCCCGGGGGCGGCGGGCCTGGTGCGGGGTCACCGCCAGGCAGCCTCTTCCTCTTCACGCGCTGCCAGGATGACCCGCGACTGGGGCACCTGCCGGGAGCCGGGCCAGCTTAGCTCGGGGGTCCTGGCCTCTCACCTGCATTACCCGACCTGGTCCTGGAATCCGGCCCAGGCGTCCTCATTGACCCCAGCTGCTGTCTGTGGAGCCCTTAGAAGCCTTGGACAGAGTGAGACCCAAGGCGCTGGCCCAGCAGCTGGAGGGGACCTGGGACAGCAGGCCACCAAGGGAGGCCCCTCCTCTCAGGTGTGCGGGGACAGGGCAGCTTCGGTAGGCAGGCGCTTGCCACGCTATGAACCTGCCGGCACCTGGAGCTGAGGCACAGACCAGAGGTGGCACTTGTGGAAGGGCCTCCGTGGGATCTGAGTTTTCTGAGGACTTCTGGGCACCAGGTCTCTTCCCTGGAGATGGCACACGGGGCAGACCTAGTGGGGCAGGCAGGTGAGGGCGGGCTCGGCTCTCACTCTCTGGGCCTCCTGGGCAAGGCCTGGTGGGAAGCGGTGGCTGAGTGGCCTCATGTCCCCAACAGACACACAGGAGCTCTGCAGGACTTTGGGCCCAGAGCTCCCACTGCCCCAGAGGCTCTGCCAGGAGCCTCCACGGGGACAGCACACATGTGACTCCCCCCCCTCCACACACACACACACACACACAACATGGAAGTCCCCCAGAGGTTCCATCTGTCACTGCCCATGGCACAAAAGTGGACAGAGTGATGGACAGGTGGGGCTGAGGCATCAGGCTGGTAGCCTGAACTAGACACATACCTGCAGGCTGCCCGGCTGGCCACTGGCTGACTTTGTGGGCGCCAGCTGCTGGCTCAGGCCGTCTGGACACCGGACAGACATGCCTCTCAGCACAGCTAGAGCGGCGTGCTCCTCCTGACCTTCACACGTGAGCTTGGAGCCCATGTGTCTGGTTCACCCAAACCCATGGCCAGGTGGAGGGTGGGACCAGGGCCCTCAGCCCACTGGGGACGGGGCCAGTCCAGCTAGGGTGGCCGTTGTCCTTGGTTTTTTTGTGGCCTGCTCTGGGGCCCTCAGGTACTTGGGCAGGGAGAGGCAGTGTGGTCCCCAGAGGCCGTGGGCCTCTGGAGGTGTGGGCCGGAGGACAAGGGACTGCGCCCTCCCTCAAACTGGTGTGTGACCTTAGCTCCCACCGTCACACACAAATGCCATGGGGCTCAGGGCCGGGATCCCTCAGCCTGTCCTGGTGCCACTTGAAGGTGCAGCTCCTGGCAGGCAGTTTGGGGTGCTGTAGGCTCTGGGGCCCGTGCCCCTGCACCCCATTCCTGAATCCCAGCCACCCGCCAGGAAGGGCAGCTGTCTTGCCCCCCGCCCCCCGCAGTGTCTGGACCCTTTAGGCTTCTCCTGCCCATCAGCGGCGGGGTCTCTGCTCCCAGGCCCTGCCCTGTGCACCCGGGGAGTCATGGCCACTCCGGGGCAGGGTCCTGCCCGCACAGGGGGCTGCCCCAGGCCCTGACTCCTAGGGATGACTGTGGACGCCATGAGTCTCTGGAGGCTGAGAGGTGGACATGGGCAGTGAGGACAGGAGGCCTGAGCTAAGTGGACCCCGAGGATCCATGAGAGGCTGTGGTGGGGGGTTGAAGGGACTTTGGGGACCGTGGGGGCCTGTCCCCATGGTGGGCAAAGGGCTCCCTGCAGCAGGTTCCGCTGTGGGGAATCTCCTCAGTGCGGACTCCTGGGTCCCAGCCAGGAATCTTCTCAGGCGGGGCCTAGGAGTCTGCATTTTTTAGCAGGCTCCCAAGACAGGCCTCTTGAACATGGGGTGCCCCGTGTGGTCAGCAAGATACTGACGCGGACTCCCTGTGGTGAGGGGACAGAGGGGCGGCGGCTAAGGAGAACTTGGAGAAGTCTGTGCGCTGGCAGGCGTCTGCCGGGGAGACAGCCCTGCCCAAGGAGAGGCAGCTGGGCGCTGGCGGCTGCTGTGGGGTCTGTCCCCAGTGCTCCGGGCACGGGCCCCTGTGACCCT